TGAATTCTAATTTAATAAGAACTACATTTTATTTCTTCTAACAAACCTTTAAAAGAACGAAAACAAAGCACAAGGCATAATTTTCTGATTCAAAAAAAAATTTTTTATCCAGACCATGAAAAAAAAATTTGAGTAGGGGCAAATTTTGTGAGTCGGTCGCGTTACTGCAAACAAACATTTTTTTAAGGATGGCCCTGCAGGAAATTAAAAAACAACAATTATTTACATTGCCAAAACACTATAATCTTTAGTCATTCTGAATATTAATAAGCTTAGCTTCTATGAAGGTTTGGTGAAGACAGTCAATTTCATGTGTTTGGGCTTAATCAGGAATTTTCTTGTAAGAACAGTTTAGGTTGTAAGTGTTGAATGTGCTCTACCTTCATTTTGGCTCAGTGGTCTAGAGTTGTCACTTTAGCTTGTAAGCAGTAGGTCTTGAGTTCAAATCACAGCAACCGTGGCATCTTATCTGGTGCATTTGCATCTTTCTGTTACACGCTAAAAGTGTTCCTAAGAATTGTGGTCGAGCTACATAATAGTTTAATGTGCAGCATTTTCTTTGAAGAATTTTCTTACATATATATTGTATGTCTATGTAATAGTGGTATTCAATTATTTAAACATTGTCTGCAATTCTGATAGTAGTCTAAAGATAAAAGAAGTTGTAAGTTGGTAAGAAAATTAATTTAAGGAACATGCTTGCAGCATCCCCTTTAAGAGGTAAAACATTACTTGGTGATAATTGGTGATGTGTTTTTGTATGGTTTTCTGTGAGTGCTTATTATTACAAAAGGTTAATAGTACTTGTATCATAGTTAGGGGACCTTTCTGTTAAAAATGTGTCTGAGTTAAATCGTATACATATACATGCATCGTGCGTTAACTAAAGTGCAGGTATTAGTTACCCGCACTTCAGAGCATGCCCATTGATTGGCTCATTTTTGCTGGGGTTGACTTATTGTGACGGCAGAGAAAGTGAAAGCGACAGAAATATCGTATTTAGATGCTCGTTCATTGGTTACTTTTCTCCGGGGTTTCATATTGTGTCAACAGGGAACGTGTTTTTATGTTTTACTATGATACAAAAGAGAAAGAACATCAAAACACTTGGCAATCTGATTAATACTCGGCGGCTACGCCCCCTCGTACAAATCAGATACCCTTGTGTTTCGATGCTCTTTCTATTACTTATTATGCCCCCATTTCGAAGAAAAGGGGGTATATTGCTTTGCACTTGTCGGTCCGTCGGTCTGTCGGTCCGTCGGTCCGTAGACCAAATGGTTTCCGAGTGATAACTAAAGAACCCTTAGGCCTAGGAACTTCAAACTTGGTATGGTGATTGGTCATGACCAGTAGATGACCCCTATTGATTTTGGGGTCAAGGGGTCAAAGGTCAAGGTCACATTGACCTTGAAAGCAAAAACGGTTTCCGATCAATAACTAAAGAACCTTAAGGCCTAGGAACTTCAAACTTGGTATGGTGATTGGTCATGATCAGTAGATGACCCCTATTGATTTTGGGGTCAAGGGGTCAAAGGTCAAGGTCACATTGACCTTGTAAGCAAAAACGGTTTCCGATCAATAACTAAAGAACCTTAAGGCCTAGGAACTTCAAAATTGGTATGGTGATTGGTCATGATCAGTAGATGACCCCTATTGATTTTGGGGTCAAGGGGTCAAAGGTCAAGGTCACATTGACCTTGAAAGCAAAAACGGTTTCCGATCAATAACTAAAGAACCTTAAGGCCTAGGAACTTCAAACTTGGTATGGTGATTGGTCATGACCAGTAGATGACCCCTATTGATTTTGGGGTCAAGGGGTCAAAGTTCAAGGTCACATTGACCTTGAAAGCAAAATCGGTTTCCGATCAATAACTAAAGAACCTTAAGGCGTAGGAACTTCAAACTTGGTATGGTGATTGGTCATGATCAGTAGATGACCCCTATTGATTTTGGGGTCAAAGGTCAAGGTCACATTGACTTTTTAAGCAAAAACGGTTTCCGATCAGTAACTAAAGAACCTTAAGGCGTAGGAACTTCAAACTTGGTATGGTGATTGGTCATGATCAGTAGATGACCCCTATTGATTTTGGGGTCAAGGGGTCAAAGGTCAAGGTCACATTGACCTTGTAGGTAAAAACGGTTTCCAATCAATAACTAAAGAACCTTAAGGCCTAGGAACTTCAAACTTGGTATGGTGATTGGTTATGACCAATCAGATGACCCTATTGATTTTGGGGTTAAGGGGTCAAAGGTCAAGGTCACATTGACCTTGTAGGTAAAAACGGTTTCCGATCAATAATGAAAGAACCCTTAGGCCTAGGGACTTCAAACTTGAGATGGTGATTGGTCATGATCAGTAGATGACCCCTGTTGATTTTGGGGTCAAAGGTCAAGGTCACATTGACCTCTTAGGTAAAAACGGTTTCCGATCAATAACTAAAGAACCCTAAGGCCTAGGAACTTCAAACTTGGTATGGTGATTGGTCATGACCAGCAGATGACCTATTGATTTTGGGGTCAAGGGGTCAAAGGTCAAGGTCACATTGACCTTGTAGGTAAAAACGGTTTCCGATCAATTTACTAAAAACGCTTAGGCCTAGGAACTTCAACCTTTGTGTGATGAATGGTCATGACCAGCAGATGACCCCTATTGAGTTTTAGGTGAAGGGGTCAAAGGTCAAGGTCACATTGACCTTGTAAGTAAAAACAGTTTCTGATCAATAACTCAAGAACACTTAGGCCTAGGAACTTCAAACTTGGTATGGTGATTTGTCATGACCAGCAGATTACTCATATTGATTTTGGGATTAAGGGGTCAAAGGTCAAGGTCACAATGACCTTGTAAGTAAAAACGGTTTCTGATCAATAACTAAAGAACGTTCGTCCTAGGAACTTCAAACTTGGCATGGTGATTGGTCATGACCAGCAGATGACCCCTATTGATTTTGGGGTCAAAGGTCAAGGTCACATTGACCTTGTATGTTAAAACGGTTTTCGATCAATAATAAGAGAACCCTTAGGCCTAGGAACTTCAACCTAGGCATGGTGATTGGTCATGACCAGCAGATGACCCCTATTGATTTTGGGGTCAAGGGGTCAAAGGTCAAGGTCACATTGACCTTGTAGGTAAAAACGGTTTCTGATCAATTTACTAAAAACGCCTAGGCCTAGGAACTTCAAACTTTGTATGATGATTGGTCGTGACCAGCAGATGACCCCTATTGAGTTTTGGGTCAAGGGGTCAAAGTCATGACCAGTAGATACTTTATAACCCTTATTAATTGTTTGATCACTGGGTCAGAAGTCATGCATTATAACCTTATCACATGACTAATTGGCTGCTGATAGGGGGCATACATGTTTTACAAACATATCTTGTTTTGATAAATTTAAATAGATTACCGCAAGTATTCTTTTCAAAAGTACATTGTATTGTTCTATTTATGCTGTTCAGTAAGAGATAAAATCAATGAGTTATTTTTGCTGGAGAAGAAATTGTTTTCACCTACCATTTTCAATTACCATACCAAATAGAAGCATAATTATTTAGTTTTTTATGTACATACAGTATGACAAATAAAGTTTAATTTCACACAATAACAAATTTCATTTTATGTCCATGTATATCAAAATGAACATGTTTAATCATAAGAAGATATTTCTCAAAGAAACATTAATTACATAATTTAATGTACTAATATTAAAAAGCTTGCATATTAAATTTACACTATCCCTGGCTCCCTGCTTATTTTTAGTTTGACTTTTTCAAAAGAAAATATCCAAGGTATTGCTACAGTCATGTTGTCTGCACCCTCCAAAACTTTCACTTTGGCCATTATTATTTTATTTCTTCATACTTGGACAAAACATCCCTTTGGTCAAAACCTTCAAGAAGACTGGACAGAACTTGACTTTGGCATTGACCTCAATAATCTTTTGAACAAGAATTTCAAGTAGATAAAACTATTGTAATTTCACCTTTATATCAGGTAGACCAAATTAATCTAATTTCAACTTTATTTAACCTTGGCCATCAAGGTCAAGCTATTGAATTTTGTTTTGAACAGATTTGATTCATATGTGAACAAAAGAACTTACGTCAAAATGGACATGTTGAATTATTCTGATATGACCTTGACCTGGACTGTCAAGGTCAAAGTATCAAAATTTGCTTAAACTGTCATATTTTGTTATTTATTCAGAGATTTGACTCATATTGGACAAGAGAACACATATGACAAAATGGACATGTTGAATTATTCTGATAAGACCCTGACTTTTTGTTGACCATTGACCTTGATTGTCAATGTCTTATTATTAAAATTTGCTAAAATTGTCATAACTGACACTGTGATTTGATTCAAACTTGGACTTGGGTTTATTTGTTTTAAAAAATATTATGTTTTGTAGGAGTACTCTTCACAATAATACTCTTGTCTTAATGTGTTTGAGTTAAAGAAATAAGAAAAAGTCAAGCATGACCCCGCTAGATGGTGGCTCTTGTTTATAATGGACTTGTTTTGCTTTGTCCATTGTCAATGTTATGAAAATTATTGGCCTGTTGAAATGACTGGTATTGCCTAGCTGTTGGGTTTGATTTGAAGCATATACCTCAATAGATCAGATGATTTTATACTTTCAGCATACCCTGGAAATTGTTCAACTTTATTCTCCTTCATAATTAATGCGTGCTATGTTTGAAATGTATGACAAGTGACCATTTGTTAAGAAGGAAAATTAGGGTAAAGCCATATTCATATTGAATTTCATAGGGTACGGTACATGATATAAAAATATTTTAAACGCATATCTTAAAATCTGAACATTTTAATAACCTTTAATTATTTAAAGATCCTAATTTTTTACAGGTCTCAGATGTTTGTCATTTTAATACGCTAAGTATTTAACACAGTTAATAAAACTATTTAGGTGAATTTTGTTATGTAAACTGAGATACAAAGTTAACAGTGATACAGTTGTTATTCTGTATTTTGTAGCAGTGAACCAGATCTGCGTTTCTTCCACTATTATTATCCTTGGCTACATCATGGTGCCGTCATTGTGTAAGTGGATGTTCAGTTACCTTCGCAGCCTAATAACCTGTTGCGCTTTCATATAGCCCGTGCTACCTGTGTTACCCGTGCATTATCAGTTACAGGAGTTTGCACTCTTCTCATTTGCATTAATTTTATTCTGTTTTTTGGCGCTTTTTATTCTGTGGCAGATGTTTTAGCAGGCTATAGAACCAGGCTGTTAATGTATTTATGAAGAAAATTTTATATATGTTTTTTTATGCTCTTATATTTCTCTGCATTAATAATTTCTAGGATTTTGAAAACTAAGTATTAGATGTATTTCTTTTTTAGCAAAATAACTCAAAAATAGAAAATGTTCTGTAATTGTACTTTGATTTAGGCAGATTTTTTACCTAAAAATGAACTGATCGAACTTGTAACTTGGTCTGTCTGGATGTATAAGTACAATTATTTGTAAGAAATACCTAATGCTAAATAAGATTATTTTTTTGCAAATGATATTTTGTTTGCTGTTTATATTAATTTGTTTTTATGTAAAAAAAATATTGTCAGATATATTGTTCTTGGTATATACAATTGTTGTTTTCTGTATGTATTTTTGCTCCATCATTAAATATCAGTGAGTGGCAAGTTAAAGGTTCAACTTTGATTTTGTTGGAATGGAAATGAAAGTTTTCAGAAAGGTTTGTTTACATGTATTTAACTGTGCTGTTGCATGCTGTATGGCTGTTACAGATTGAGTGAGTGGTTTTCTGAAAATGGTATTAAACTTACAAAAAATTAAGACTGCAAGAGTTTAAAAAAAACCATACCACATTTTGCAAAAATATTCATCCATACTAAATCATTTTATCTAGTGATTTGAAATAATGTATTTAATTTACTTATTTTCAGGGAAAGCATAACTATTGTCATGATGACAATGATGGCTGCTTTGGTTTACCTTTTAGTCAAGATTTTATTTGTGGTCATATTAAAACTTCAATGCCATTGCATTGAAACTTTGTGTATGACCCCATTTTAAGGTCAATTGGTCAAGGTCATTTGTACCTAAAATAGGTAATAGGTTAATGTTCATTTTCCAATAAACTATTAAAGATATTAACTTAAAAAGTCATACTCTTCACAGTGATAACCGCCCATAGCAGATTGTAATCACTGCTTTCACAGATGTCACATGGTGATGAAAGTCACATGACGTAACATCAAAATTCAAAATTAATGTAAATATCGACCAACACATAGAAAATCTAACGTCATTTTTCTCTTTCCGTTAAATAACCAAATATTGTTAAAAATATGTGTGGTGGCAGAGATCTCTTTACTGATCAGGGGAGATTACTGCATAGGAGATTGTTAAAAAGTCAAACCTGCAATTTTAGAGATGGTCCAATATTGTTTATATATGGATGAATCGTGATTATTACCCTTACAATACAGTATCGTGATACAATATTGAGGTACCCATATCTAGTGATACATTTTCTATTGCCTGGTTTTACTATGGTCAGAGACTTCTCATTACTTTATGACATTTTTGAACCTAGAGGAATTATAAATAAATACTTATTTTGAGCTAGTCAATATCTAGTCATTAAGGTTGTATAACAGAAATTGAGAATCAGAACTATGGTATTGAAGATATTAACTAGGAAGGATTTGAACATTACAAACTGAATTTATATTTTCTGAATATTTATAAGTATACTGTATACTTAAAATATTCGTTTATTATCAAGGGCAAGTCATTCTGAGAAGCAGTTGTTTAGAATTATGCCCCTTTACTTAAGTTTAATATCACGTTTAACCCTAAGAAAAGTTGAGTTTTTATTGTATTAACTATTTTTTGCTATTTTTCTAAAAGGACATATATATAATTATATTAAACAAAACAGTAGAAATTAAAGTTTCCTGTATCTACCTTGAAGCAAGTTGTGTCTGATCATTTATCAAATCAAATACACACTCACAGAAAATAAATGTCATGTATTTGAACTTTGATTACATAAGTTAATGATACAGTAATGTATTTTCCTTTCTTTCTGAAACAGATTGTCTTCTCTCCTCTCCCAACACACTTAACTATATCATTTAACACTCAGTTGCACGCCTCGACTTGAGTAAAATACATACATGTACTGAAACCCCCTAAATTTTTTAATTTCACAATGTGTTATTGGTACTATTTTTAGGGAATTTTTGAAAGACATCTTAATAGATATTCAAGATGAATGCAAGTGTTGTTGCCATATGTTTGTTAACAATAATGTCATTAACAGTTTTCTATATTAAATTAACTAGTTTTACAAAACCTCTCTTCTTAACCTCTCTTAACCTGTGGTAAATATGACTGATTTCCTAAGAAAGCTCTTTTTTTTAAGTATTTTCTATTATAAAAATCTTGAATTCTGTCTTCCCTCTCTTGACCTTTACTAGGAGAAGATTGTTAAGATGCTTTCATGGCCTGATTAGTGTACACATGTGGAATAAAGCCCATGAGGATAATATAGCTTTATTGTGTTTGAGCATAAACTTTGTGCTTGTTATGATGATTTGATCTTGTTATTATGTGTTGTTTTTTTTCTTTCTATACAGAGTCTTGATGCTATATCTTTATGGAACGTGACATTATGGTCTCTTATAGAACAGTACATTTACACGATGTCAATAAATGTATGTGATAGCACAGTCCAGTCCATGAGAGTAAACTGTGGCTGTTATATTGATTGTTCAATAGACTTTGTTTGATTTATAGACATCTTTCATGCTAGCAACTAGTATATTGAGGAAGTTATCAGAGGAAGTAATTCAGTCATGGTTCTGTTGCTTTAATTTGTATGTTTCTGAGTGACACAGTGAGATAGACCAATAATGAAGATCATTGATTCAAGAAAATTCAAGTTACTGTAAATAATGAAGTCAAAATAAGGCTTGATCAGTGTTGTATTGTTTTCACATGTCACATTTAATTTCCCTCAGAAATAAATAAATTTTTACTTCTTTAGAAAGGGTGTAAATGAATTTTATAATGTGTAGATAGTGGTTTTAGGGCATATTAGATGTTTGTTACCTTAAAAAGTAGTGCTAGATGTGAAATCATGTGTCATTAAAGTAGCAAAATGTAAACAAAGAAGTATTTTGACTTCCATACAAAAGAATCAGTATAACTGAGTGATTTTTTGGAAATTTTAAAGGAGAACCAAAAATAAAAAGCTTTTGAGAAATTAAATTTAAAGAATTCCTGGGGCATAGTGCTTGGGGCTTTAATCATGCATAAGTTTAAAGACATTATATTAAAACTGAAGAAAATATTTGGTATAGTAGTATTATAATTAAACACATAATATTATGATGTACAGGTATCAGATAATTGTCATGTAAGTTCAGATTCTTCTACAGAAATGATATCAATTTTTCTCCTGGGTGTCCCTTGGGTAAAAACACATTTAAATCTTCTTGTATAAAGAACTTATAGATGTAGTATTTCCTAGATGACAACAAAAGAAATTTTATAAACTTTATAACACAACTTGGGTAAAAATGATACCCAATGTGACTTATTTACTCACTGATACATTGAAGAATTGTGACCTTTCCTAGCAATGTATCAATGTGTTTGCGACCCAAGGACATCATGGCCCTCTTGTTATTGCACATTTGTCCTATCTAAATATGCAAGTGAAGTAAAATATAAACTGTTGGGATTTGGAATCCATTCAGGGTTCTCGGGGACGCTTATTTCGGCGTCCCGGTACGCATGTTTATTGCAGCTGGACGCATATATTTCAGAGCAAGGATTCCACGTACGCTAAATTTTGCCCGGGGACGCATAAACATTCCCGATTGTTTACAACCACAAATACACAAATGCGTCAGCGCGTGTCAGTCTATAGGTAGGCGGTCCTATGCACATCTACCCGTGAAGCAATTAGCCAATCAGCGATAACGCTTCCGATCATTATCACGCAATAGTGGTCAGACTAATGTATACACGCGCTGTACAGTACATGTAATTACCAGATATATCACGAGGTGATAATTTTATATCTTTGATCAACAGTTGATTGGAAATTAGCAAATTTTACCGACAAAAGGATAAAATTATCGACTATTTACGCCGCAAGTTTTAAGACTGTTTTCTAAAATTACAATTGAGTGTAATTTTGAATGATTGTCGAATATTTTCGGCATTATAATGATTCACGGATTTATATTAATTTGTAATATAAATCCGTGAATGATTGTCGAATATTTTCGGCATTTTCTAGGCACAATTTTGCTTTAGTTTCATTCTTGCAAAAACTTTCTTTAAGAGTATTAAGAATTTAAGATATTGTGCCGAAATGCCAGGTACACATACGCTTTTCTCTATCCGAAAATTGATCCCGAACATCGGCGATTTCACGTTCGCCAGAAACCCTAAAATTTCGCAAAAATTCTCGGTTTCCAAGCCAAACATGCGAATGAATTGTTTCTTTATTATTTAATCAACATTAAATCTTTAAATGTCGATCTTTAATTTGCCCCCTTTTGAAGATAATTGCTAAAATAATCGTCGATCTGATGAATCTCTTACACACTGTGTGAATCTGTACACGATTTTCCTATTCATTCCGCTAAACGCTGCCTATATACATTTACGTTTTTTTTTTAACAAATACAAACTTTTTGTCTTAAGAGTGGACTTATTTAACCAGAGAAAAATTTGATTTGGTATAAAAGTGAAAAAAAAAAAAAAAAGATTTCCATGGGTTGATGCATTATAATGATTATAATTTCATAATAAATATTAACAACAAAACAATAATTATACTATGTAGTTCAGAGTTTCTTTTGAATAACTATTTACTTTGGAAGTCTCTTGAACATTCAAAATATCAGCAATGCTATTGTGAACATTGAATGACTAATTAATCTGTAAACATATTAATTGCGACGCGCTTTTGACTCCAACTTTTTCAGGGTTGGGAGTCCATGGACTCCATGTTTTAAAGTCCTAGTGAGAACCCTGTCCATTATTTTGTAATAAAAAAGATATTAAAATATAAATGTTGTGTGTATACCCATTAACTTTGCTTTTGATATAATACTATGTATAATGCACCTTCATCCATATATAATAATAATAATATAAACTTACTCATCCGAAGAAAATAAAATAAATAAGATGCTGCATACATGTATTAAATTTCATTTTCTCTTGTATTAAATTTAATGCTTTTGAGAGGATGTAGATTTGTTTGAAAAATCTTGATCATGTTCTGCTAAAAACTTCTTTCAACATAAGGCAGAAGTCTGGAATTACATAGAAATTGTTCTGATAATTTCAGCAAAAATCATAAGCAAATGAGTGAACAGTCTGATAGGCACTCCCTTTATGTTAGGCAAAAGAAATAACTGTTTCTCCAAATATTCTGCTTGTGATTGAAAGTATTGGACGTTATGCAGAATATCTCAGAATATCTGCATAATCGAGGCAAAACTCTCTCTGTATCTTTGTGTCACAGACTTTTCTAGTAATGAACGAGCGATTTACTTGAGATGTCAACCTTGTTGTGATATTGTTTATGTGCCAAGTTTGCTCGAATACTTTTATATCCATTTTCTATGAGAACGATACATGCTTTGTATAAATTTTTACAGTTTAAATTTCATTTTGGATAGTGCTTGATTTTCCTTTTACTGTGACAGGTTGTATGTGATTTTATTTTAGATGAAAAGTGCAAACATGTCATAAATGCTTTATGATGTGTGTTTGTTTATGGTTTCAATGCATTTTTTGCATGTGGTTTTCAAATATGATAAGTTACTGATGATAGAAGTGTGTTATAAATAAGGACAAACATGGATTTAATTGAATTTTTGTACATTGTGTCTATATAGCAGTGCTGTAATTCATCTGAACAAGATGTTATCAAGTTTTAACATAGGAGAATTTCTTATATATATTTTTCCATCTTTATTTTTTTCTGGAAGTAAAAGTGTTTAATTTCTTTGTGTAAGGATCATTGAGACAGTTGTATGTACAAATGTGCAAAGATTGACCTTGTTTATTATGGAATGATGGGATACTTTTAAGCACTCATTGAAGGAAGATAATATTACATAATGGTGCTTGTAACATAACATATATTCCAGTGTCATTATGATTTTTAAAAATGTAAACTGTAGGAAAATATTATTATATATTTAGAAAAATGTGTGTGTAATTTATGTATTTAAAAAAAACAACTTGACAAGTTTACTTACTCAAAAGTGACAGTCTGGTAAAGAATGAAGGATTAGGATGGTTTAAAATAAGACAAAATATTTTCTTTATATGTTTGGTGACATTGTGAGAAGTGATATGGACAAGATTCAACTATCTTTTGCTCCACTTTGAATCACATTGTGTATTTTTGCCATACAGTATTTGGAAAAACAAAAAATTTTGATACAGCGAATTGAGGGTATGAAATTTGGAATTGATGTGTTGCATATATGACATGAGATCAACAGCTGTTGCACCATTCAGGTGATGTGAATTACTGTATTGCATGTTGTGGAGAAGTTGTAAGATTTTGGCAATATTCGTTAAGGACTTTTGTTTGCTTTTGCATGCTGTCCTTGATATATTTTAAAAATCTTTGTTATTGAAGCGGATTTTAACTTTTAGTAAGAAATTAAAAGTATAATAGTAAATATAAATTTACTAAGAATAAAACTATGGAAAAAACAGTTACTTATATATATGTACATTATTTTGTGCATATATATTGGTTGATGTTAAATTGATATGTTATGAAGTTGCTATTCTTGTCTTTTTATTGAGAACAAAAGTTACTAAATTTTAACTTTTAAGACTATTTTGCATCAGTCTTTAAAAAAAGATATTTATCTAAAGCTAACCATTTATAACATGTAAATAGCTTTACTGAATTGATATTAGCTGTCATGTTAAAGTATGTAAACAGCTGACTACACCATGACTCAAAATATTTTTGTCACTGAAAGAGTGATTACTAATGTTTGTACTTTATATTTATATGTATATATATTATTTTTGATATATTTTCAATGTAAAAAAAACATGCAAAGGGAGATAAATTTGAGAAGATTGACATAATTATTAAATGAATCTGGTTATGAAGCCATCTGAATCTTGTTGTTTTATTAACTTTGAAAATAATATTGTGTTACAAACATTGGAGGAATATTTCTTGCACAAAAAAAAATCAAATTGGTTGATCAGAAGTATTGATATTATTCTTTAAATGTTGATGAGGGCTTAAAGTTTGAAAATTTAAAGTTTTTAGTATAATTCTGAATTTCTGATTGAGCATGACAATGCAAAATGTTTTTTGTTTTTTTGTGCATTTTGTCATTTGAAATATTTGTCTTAGCTATCTTTCTTGATTTATTTTCATCTGAAAGAGGTCGGTTTTTATTGCTTAAGGGGCAATGTTGGTGTCAAAATGAAAGGACAACTGTACTTCTAAAGGCTAGTTGGAAGAGAAAATTACACATTAGAATGTAACACATAAAATTTTCCTAGGCTTGCATGTCTTAAACAAAATTCATTTCATAAAAATTACTAAGGAGCTGGTAAAGAAAATGTCACTTTAGCAAAGCCTATGGCTATTTTTTTTTACAGATATCAATACACATGCTAGCAATGCTGTTTGTGCCACCTGAAATACCTAGTGTTGAATTGAGTCAGTGGATAATCTTTTATATGGAAAAATTAACTTAAATTGTAAATTGCAGACTCAGTTTTGATTGAGTTGATTGATTTAGTGTTTATACTGGAACAGGGTCATAAATATTTGTTTATAAGGTACAGACTTCCTTTATTTCCGATGGCAAACACTTGAATGAATGTGTCACCATGGAGGCTTAGAGCAGCATAGATGTATTTATGTGATGTGCAAATTAAGGTGGTATGACAGGGCTCGAATTTAACTTTTTTGGCCACTAGCAATTTTTTGCTAGTGGACAAATTTTTAACTAGCAAAAACTGAATTCAACTAGCACTTTTTACCACAATGATTTTTTAATTCCAAAATTGTTTAAAATTGTAATTTATTTGGACGAGTTCGAACTGCCCAGGGTACGAATCAGCGACGTAACTTTCTACTCAAAAACTTGATTTAGGGGACAGGGATTCTTATCAATGTCAATCTACATGTAAAAAAAATAATAATGCAATATTGTCGCCATAAACCAACCGACAATGTCTGGTCTGGATTATGAGCACAAAATCGGCGCAAAATATTTTTGGCAACAATTCCATCGTCATCGAGTTAGTACGTAAGATTGACATGCAGTTCTTTCTCCAATTTTTAACTGAAGGTCTGATTGTCTTTCTTTTGATAGACTGTGAATCATCTTCTGTACTCAGAGTATTGTTATCGGAAGACACATTTGCTTCAGTAAGTGGAAGAAGTTTGTTATTTTTTCGTTTAGACATTTTATTCCGATCACGCTTGATTTACACGGACAAAATGAAATTTGGACTGGTTTAAATTTGTGTACTTTTTTAAGCGAGGTTAAGGTATAGAAAATGTAAACCAGACAGCAAGTGCGCGCATAGTTTATAACTCGGCTACCTGCGAATATTACGCCCCATTTATATTTCAGATTTTCCTGACGAGCGTATTCCGTTTTTTCTTCAACTCGCAAAAAATTGCTAGTAGTCATAAATCTAACTCGCAAAATCATTTTTCAACTAGCATTTTGCGAGTTTGCGAGTGTTAAATTCGAGCCCTGTATGATCTATATGGCAATATGTTCTTGAAAATAATTGTATTGGTTATTTTCAGATCTGATTCACATGGGAAGCATGATCCAATTTATGATGAGGAAGAAGAGGATGAAGAGATTCTAGGCTCTGACGATGATGAACAAGAAGACCCCAAAGACTATTGTAAAGGTATGTGTAAATCACCATTGCCCTGAAGAACTGCCAGTGTAAAGTAGCCTTCTGCCATACTGTCCTTAACCTTACATCAATGTTTTGAGCAAGTTCAGAAAATTTTAAAGTAGCAAGCAGTGGAATTGGAAAAAAAAGAAAATATAAAGTCAAAAGTCTTGAACTATAAACATTTTATTTATGGTACATTTGAGTATCAGTTAAGCTTGAAGATATTATTAAATAGATCTTTAAAATGATTCAGTGAATTGACAGTAATGCTACTGTAGTATAAAGAAGGGTAAATTTGCCATTTGTCTCATAGAAATGTTAGAAATTTATAGGTTTACTTAAAAAAAATTTCATGGTGTGGTATGTGTTAATAATTATGATTGTTACAATTTTCTTCCTGTATTATGAATTACAACTTTTTATTATCCCTTTTTCTTAAACAGTCCACATCTTAATTTTTTTACCACTGTATATCTGCTGAGTACCTACCTGCTGTGGGAGGAATAATGGAAAGAACAATGATTGTTAATATTATTATAGTCTAACCTATTCACAGGGAAAAAGCATTTCACCTGGTCATTAAATACTTTTTGCCTGAGGTAACACCACCTGTATGCAGTAACATTTTCTCTCTGCCAAAATCCAGCTGTAATAATCTTGTATATCATTTGTTATATTTAGTTCTCATGCCGGGAGAATACAGAAAATAATAAAAATTAGTGGATATTCTGAAATATAAACTGTGTTTATTAGCCACTACAGGCGATAAATGTAAATCAAGCTATTGTTCAAACAGCCACCATTACACATGCCCCTTAAAATTGTTTCTCTGCTCAACAGAAACAAGAGACTGTTTATATGTGCTATAAATTATATGTATGATTACTTTGTAAAGACAGGGGGAATCTGACTATATTTTTCTATTGGCTTCTACACTTGAAAAAAAGCTTAAAGTGGATTGGTCTGCAATGCACACATTTTCTATAAGTATTTCAAATGTTCATAAAAACAATAGGAATGTTTCAATTGGATATTCTTATGAATTATTACTTTAAAAAAAAAACATGTTCATAAAATGAACATTTGTAAGATGAATAATAATATTTTGTTCTAGAACAATTTACTTTAATATAAATTTGTATTCTAGGGTCATAACATTAATTTTGTCAGCAAAACAAGATGATCGTTCAATTTGTATAATGTAGCAAAAAACAAATCACTTGATTAATTACTATGCTACTTCTAAATAATGAACAGATGAAAAAGAATTGGAAATCTGATTGGTGGAAATGTGATTGGTTTACTATTTGTAAGATTTACAGAGAGTTGTAAATGAATTGCACTATGGGGATATGTTGACTGTGACAATATTAACCTTAAGCCTTCTAGGCAGCAACTGAGTATGCCCATGTCACCAGTGCAGACCAAGATCAGGCGGCACATTTTTCCAAATTAATGTCTTTACTGTTTTCTATTCAGTCAGTACTTGCATGTACTAGCAAATAAATTCCCATAAAAATGATGAATCTTCTGTCCACAAGTCTATTTAGGATATTTAGCGTTACACTATTTACCAGCTCCTCATTGTGCATGTAAATGATTAAAAATACTGATAAACTGGGATTTAAACTAAGAAAACCTAAGCATTGCTTTTATAATGACCTTGTGGCTATGTAGAATCCATCATGGTGGAACATGTTAGGGGCCATTTGGCTACTTTTTGGTAATTTCTTTTCTATTTATTTCTACATGGAACTGATAAACACAAAATATGTATATAATAAAAAAGCAACATCTTGGAAACATAATGAAATCCCTGCATAAGCCACTGCATACATTTAAAGTGTGGTTTGCATATAGTTAAGGTGGAACAAGAAATACTAATGGATATTTGGTAGCATAATGATGACATTTTGTGTTTGTACATTTTCAGGTGGATATCATCCAGTGAAGATTGGGGATTTATTTAATAACAGATACCATGTTGTGAGGAAGCTAGGGTGGGGACATTTCTCCACTGTCTGGTTATGCTGGGATCTCAAGTAAGTCAAATACTTCTATTATTTACCTATTTTAAACTTTCTGAATGCTAGAAGAAATATGACCCGCAAATTCCATCATTTTAGAGCAAGACCAGGGTAGACTTTCTCTGTGCCTAACTAGACTCTGATTTACATATTTCTAAGAGTGTTTACTATATATCACCATACTGCATTCAATTTTCCTTTGACTTAAAAAAACAACAAATAAATTAAAGCAAAAACAACAAGAAAAACACTCTGTCAGCCAGAAAAGCAGTTGAGAAATATTTTTGCTATAGTTTTATCTATGTATGTGGTTACTGTACAATGTATACCCTGGCTATTGACATTTATGGGTTACTTGAATGTCATTTCTCTTTCCTTCAATGCTGGAAAATTTGAAATTTATTCTATCATTCTAATAAGTGTCATTCACACCGATTTAAACCAGACATCATGCAATTTACCAGTTTCTAGTAAATCACAACGCTACTGAATGGTTTACATTTATTGCAATGCCAACGATATATGTATATTATTGCCCTATAGGAAGAACTAATGCTGAATATTTTTCCTCAAGACATGCTGTCTGTAATTGTTGATGATTTTCTTACAGGGCACAGACAGAGTGAGTGAACAAATTATATACATTGTTTGTACCATGATTGAATACAGTATTTATTGTTCATTCATTGAATGATTCTGCAGAATGAGTTACTTCCAGTTGGCACTTTTTACTCTGTGCTATATTTGTATGTTTATTAATTGGGTAATTTTTCGTATGAAAGGTCAAAGGGTATTTGGAGTGATTACTTGGGTTAAATGATTTCTTAGTATTTGAAGATCATGCTTCGAAAGAATGAAGTTGATTAGTTTAATGATTATTGGAGTGGGAGGGGCATCAGGTGCAATGTTAACTTATGAGAAATTAGGATGTTCTGTATTCCAAGACTGATAATATTGTTAAACTGATCATATTTGTCTTATTGGTCTTGCTGAATGATAGAGAGAAGTTGAGTGACATAATCTACATTATATTGATAAACCCCATCATTTGCATATTCAAGGATGAGACCTAGATCTGTTATGCCATAATGGGTTAACCAGTTATTCTGAATGAGACTGATCAGATCTGCAAGTGAATTCCCATTCTGGCCATTCTGATTCATGTAATGTATCTAGTATGCTGAAAAGATTTTAGATTAATGAGCATTACAGATGTAAATGTTGTTTTTGTTGTAAGACAACATGCTCCTACAGTCTGATACAGTCCAAAGTATTGAATGGAGTAATTGATTGCTACGTTCTTCAGATCACAAATTCAGAATTTTTTATTACAGCAGCAAATGTGAGCTTTCAAGATCATTTCTTTACTTAACTAGGAATCCAGTATTGGTTTTTCAAATTGATTAAAGCCTTTGAGACTATCCCAAAATACTCTCTCTTGTTTTTTGTCTGCAAATATGTGATCAAGGCTGACTTACTGCAAATCCTTAAAATGTCTTGAATACAAGTAAGGATGCAAAATAAAGCATTAGCTCAAGGTTTTTGGAAATGACTATAGGTTACTGTTTATTTCTGTATATATCTGAACAACAGTTACACATAAATTACATACATTGTTGGATGAAAATGTGGGAACAGGTTTGGTACAGAAACAAGCAATAAAACCAAGTTGACAGATTTCTGCCTTTTTGTTCGTTGTATAAAAAACCCATAAAAAAAACAACAAAAAAACAATCATGTTTTTTTGCACATGTTAGTTTAGTTTAAGAATAATGTTTTCTTTAAAAGTTATATTGTTGTTAGTTGAAGTTCTAAATATGCATGAATGATTATTTTAAATTTCAAGATTTATTCTTGCATTCATAATATATTGTAGATGAGGGAAATGTGCAAGTCCATTCTGTTTCTTTACAAAATATTCATAGTATACATTTTTGTCATAGTTAAATCCTGTTGAAGTAGATATATTTTCCAGCATTTGTTATACAAAGTTGTTTACTTGAACTGGTTCTTCCTAGACCTGACAAGATTGGATTGTGCCAAAATTACTGATTGCCAATATAGTGTTCCAAAACAAAAGGTATTGTGTCAAATTGTACAGGCTTTGATCCAATCTGGATACACACAGTATCATGAATTATATAAACGAATGTATGGCTGATTTAAATGTTCCACTCATAGCTATGTATTCTCTCATGTTTTTTTCCAGAGCCAAAAGATTTGTTGCCATGAAGGTTGTGAAGAGTGCCCAGCACTATACTGAAACTGCCATTGATGAAATCAAACTTCTCAGATGTGTAAGTTTGTATTATAATTCACTTAAATTCTCCTTGTTAATGGGATAAGATGCACAAGCAAAAAATTCTTTTCACTTGACACAACTTTACTGTATAGTTTCTAATTGTTTTGCCTTGTTTTCCACAAAGTCCTAAAATAGAGTTAGGGCTTAAATCTTTGCTGTATTGCAATTTAAAACTCTCAGTGCACTGCTTGTATTTTCTTGAATATTTTATTGAATCCTAAAATAGCGTATTAACCAATTTGCTGAGAAAGTGGTATAAAAGAGGTGTAAGTTCAGAAGTATAACGATCCATCATTCATGACAGATGAGACTTTGTTAATAATGGGTGGTTTGATTTAGAAACTTCAAGATTTGTTTTAGGAATCATAAAATAGGGATAAGTTTACTTTCCCTCTCTTCAGAAATGATATTTCAGCAGCTGAAGAAAAATGATTAATATTCTTATTATATATTGCAGATATCTTTTGCTTTTTTTGATGATAATAGAATTGATAATATTCTTTCAAAATATACTTTGCATATGATGAAAATATTTTGTGAAATCTTCCTGTACTTGCAATAGGAACAAAAAGTTAAAGTAATGTCATTGTCAAGGGTGTTTGTGGCCTTTAAAAGTGTGTGTAACTAAAAATCCAACAAAAAAAAAAATAGGTCTGCATTTATAGTTCCTGCATGAAATGATAAGACTAGTTCCTGGCCAGATAAACTTGTACAAGGAGTTACTGCCCTTTTAGAATTGAAATTGAAAATAACTTTTTAGTCTATTGTATGTTATATGACTTTCATGTAATTATTGTAATATATTATGTATATGTTAAAACATATTGCAGGTAAGAGAGGCAGATGAAATTGACCCATTCAGGGAAAGAACAGTTCAACTGTTGGATGATTTTAAGATATCGGGTGTCAATGGAACACGTATCCTTCACAAAATAGTGTTTTCAGGAAGTTAACATGTTGAAAACAAACATAATTATGATAGGGAAATAAGCATGATAAGGAAATAAGCTATTCTATTTCTATGCAAAGTAAAGTGGTGAGGTAACGTTTTAAGTAGTTTGATTATGAAGTTATTTTGTCTTGTTGACAATGGACAGTTCCAGGTCAGGACTGATTCATTACATAGATATAGCAGGGATGAGTAATGATTGAAATAGCTGTTATCTATTGCCCTATAGATTGCGTGTAGTTTTTACTTTATGCCAACACTTTTTGTCACTTGACCAAAATTTTATTTGAATATAAAGGTGTTTGGTCATATTTCTGCTCTTGAATGTCTGTGAAACATTACAAATATACTAAGGATAAAGTTTTTTTATTAAAAAATTTAATATTATCTTAATGACATTGCAGTTTTATGTTACTGTTACGAATTCACTTTTTATCAAAATATTGGAGAGATTCCTTAACTGTTTGTACAGATGTATGCATGGTGTTCGAAGTATTAGGCAACAATCTACTCAAGTTTATCATCCGTTCCAACTATCAAGGAATCCCACTTAAAAATGTTAAAAATATTATTAAACAGGTGATTAGTCTATAATTATGTAACTTAGCTAAGTAGTTAAAATCGCTGACTTCAAATTATGCGCCCCTGAACACTGTGGAATTGAATCCTGCTTATTACTTTTGTACGAAATATTTATCTAGCTAGTTTACCTAAGATTGATGGTTTCTACGCAGGTGCCCACATGTGTCTTAAATTTTGCAAAATATCACTATATGACCATGACAGTGACTTAAAACTCAAGATCAGGAAAAAAAAATTTAAAACTAAATTAGTACACCTCTGACTAATTCCTTAATATTTATTATTAAATGAAGGGGTGTATAGTTTTACAGTAACTCACAATTGAAATATTAAAAACAGACTTAAAATCATGTATGATGTTTAGAATTCAGTAATGTTCCACTAAACATTTTTAGAATTTCATAACAAAATATGCTATTTCTTTGTTTTTGCTTTTGCAAAATAGATAATAAATTTGACATTCACTGTGTTATTAAGATTACCTCAAGGTTAATGGGATCTACTATTGTAAAGTTTATAAAGCTTTATATATATTTGCTGTTTTGTGAAATTAATTTTTATATTGTGATTTAAATGATAACAGAATACCTGGAATGAAAGAAATTTTGTCAGTTTATTTTATTGAAAGCAAGCTATTTTCATAACAACTGTGGCTTTCTGAATTGGATAATATAGCACAATAAATCAGAAAATGAGGAAGCCTGAAAACTGAGAATTGAATTTACCCATACACTTTATAAAACTTTGATTTCGATTCAATTAAACATGCATGGTACATAGCTGAGGCTATATAGGGACATCTTTTAGTCAATTAAATTTGTCAACTAGCTGATATAAGTCAGCTGCTGTTAAGTCATGGTTCTGATGAAGAATGTGCTCAAGACATGTCAGGGGAAAATATAGCTATTTTGGGCTAGGGCAAACAACCTTTGTTCGGCTGTAAAATGTAGGGGGGAAAAATCACTGATGCATGTGTGAAATCATTGCCAAACCTGCTGGAAAATAGAAGCATGATATTTTGTTTAGGAACATTTAATTTTGTTTGTGTACAATATTCAATTACATTTTAAAACAACTTAGACATTCAATGTTACAAATCTTTTAAGATAAAATCATAAGGTGATGAAAACAGCTTAATTGTTATGTTTTTAAATGTCTTCAAATATTACATAAGACAAAGCTTTATACACTTTGAGGCAGTTTTATTGTTACGATTATTTTATTTCAATGTTGATTATTATTATACATATAAGAAAAGATTGTGAAGTCTGTACGACAAAAATGTACAATTATCAAGATGCTGATAACGAGACAGTTAATTATTATTGTTTCTGTGAAGATGTCTGGTAGTAGGATCATATAAATAATTGATTGTATTGGATGTATAGCAGGGCAGTATGTCATCGTCTCAAACTGATCATTAAAGTGACATGCCTCTAGATCTTCAAATACATGAAACTTAAGAAACTGTATATTTGTAGTTTAAGAAATGTATAAATATACTTACAATCCAGTTAAATATTAATTACTTAAGCAGTATTTGAAAAAAATAAAGAAGAATTTACTGGGGGTGGGGGTTCACCAAATTAAAGGCACAGCACAAAAATAAAGTCAAAAATATGTGTTTTCTTTAAGTTTTACTTTTTTAAAATATAGTTTTGTAAAATATGATTTGAATTTTGACTTCCATTTCAGTGTTTGCAAGGCTTACACTACCTGCATGCTAAATGTAAGATAATCCATACAGACATAAAACCAGAGAATGTACTTATATGTGTTGATGAACCCTATATTAGAAAGTTGGCAGCAGACGCATATGAATGGCAAAAAATGGGTGTTAAACTGCCCGGATCAGCAGGTACATTTTTCCTAGAAATGATGTGATATTATCCCTTACTCTGCTGGAACCGAAAGTGAAAAGTCATAAGCTTTGCTATCAGTATGGAGCCTGGCCAGCCTGCAAATCAGTACCATTCTGACCAGGCTTTGAATTGTTGCCAGATGAAGCTTAAATTTGAATATGGATATTTCTAAAAAAAAGGACAGTCCGAGAATAGCTGGACAAGTCCATTTTATAAATTCAGCAGGCAAAGGGTTTATGTCAATGTTTATTTTTGTACTTCCACTGGTCTGTTTAATGGACTCATTCTCAATGGCAGAAAATGCTTTTCCCAAAATGATGTCCAAAAATTCCCAATTATAAAATGTCATAATTAAGCTGTTGTTGTGCTTTTAACTACATTGACGCCTCAAAATTTACAAACTGGGCTCACGTGTTCTCATAATAGGTTAAAAACTGTCAATAATAGCTTGTACTTATCTATTATCTTGTACTTCTATAAGCTCTTATACCCACATAAATGGATTTTTGAGTAAATTTTAGAAATCAATGCAAAAAATTCTTAACTAATTTCTGTGAATAAAATAGGTTTTGGTACAGGTTACTGAGAATGAGCAAAGATAACGTCCTTGGTGTGACTTATCACAAGCACAAACAAAACTTAACATTTTCACTTTGAGCAGGTATCTTGTAAAAATTTAGCAATGTTTTGAAATAAAATTTCCAACTTTTTCTCTGAAGATTGCTTGACTAGCAATGTCCTACTGTTTAGCAATAAAGGTCCATTATGGTCATCCTCTTGTTTATGCCATACTTAATTGCTATTTTGTGACAGTGAGCACAGCACCTAGGGAAAAGCCAGTTGATGCTGCAAAAATGTCCAAAAACAAGAAGAAAAAGTTAAAAAAGAAAGCTAAGAAGCAGCAGCAGTTAATGGATCTACAGATGCAGCAGATTACAGAAGTGGAGCAGGAAAAGGTAAAACTTGATTGTTACTGTAGCCCCTATAACCCTGTTTTGTCAGGGACTTCTACTTTCACAAGCTGACCGACTTTGTTGACAGTATGAAAGGTTTTTGTATTGGGTTAAAAAAAAGGGATTTTTTTTTTCAACACAGTAATTTCCTATCTTTTGATATTAAAGTAAGGTGTGTTCAAAATGTTTTTGTTTATGATACCTGTACATGGCATAAATTCCATGTGTCCATAATAATATAGATTAAGATATGTCTGTCAGATGTAAAAGGAATTCATGTCCAATGTTTAATTTATGTATAGTATATATATAAAGTGATGTCCCACTGTAAGCAATATCAAACCTTTGCGAAAGAACTGATTGCATTCAGGAAATGAAATGTGTACAATTAAATGAACCTCTATTTATAGAAAAATAAGGAGCTAAAATCCCATATTGTTGGTGATCTGATATTTAAATTCACCAAATGTACTAATTAAAATCCGTTGTAGTGTTTGAGAACTTTTTCAATTTCATGTTTGAGTGGTCTAGGGAATAAAATGAGAAATTTTAAGGGGTAAAATAATGATTGAGCAATGTGATATCAACAAACTAATACATCTGTTCAGATTATTCGGCGCTGAATGCAGATTTCATTTGGAAAGCAGATTTAATTTGTTTGCTTGGAGAGAAAATCATTAGTGTTTGAATGAAATGAAAGGTCAGACATAAATCGTGATTCCTTTCAAATGACTCAATAATAATCAAATACACTGAGATTATTCAATAACATATTTTTCATGTTTTTAGTACTATATTAGTAACAGGTGCTCCATAAAAGAAATAAGCTTGATATACTAGTTATTCCAGAAAAACGGTACATCATTTTACAGTATTTGAATGGAACCTGTTGTGTTAGTTTACTTCAAGAAGGTGATGTCGGTAAATAAGAAACTATCTTGCAAATACAGGCATCCATGGCCAAGTGGTTTAGGTCATTTACTTAAAACCACTTGCCCCTCGCCGCTGTGGTTTGAATCTTGACAGTTTCATGTGCTGAATGTTTTTATTTGATATGGTGTATTGAAGTTAATTTAATCCGATTTATGCCCCATCATAAAAGAAAGGATAAACTAATTGTTGAATTTTCAAATCTGATGAGAGAGTTTTGGATAAATTCCTGTCTACCTTGGAAATGCCATAAAATTTGATTGTAATAAAGAATGTTTACGAATTTTGTCACTTGTGAAAATTGAAATCCCTGCTAAGTGTATTGGTGTTGTGTTGTTCTGTTTGTTGTGTCATTTTATTGACTGTACCAAATTGTTTTGTTGGTTTATTTTTAGCTCACCTGACCACGAAGTGGTCAAGGTGAGGTATAGTGATGGGGCTTGCGTTGTGCGTAGTCAACAATTGGGTTGTTAACAGTCTAGCAGTCACAGTTTTGATTGGATCATCATCAAACTTTGTCAGAATGTTTGTCTCAATGAAATACAGATCGAGTTCGAAGATGGGTTATCTCGGGTCAAAAACTAGGTCACAGGAGCTAAAAATAGAAAAAGCTTGTTAACACTCTAGAGGCTGCAGTTTTCATCCAAATATTCTGGAAATTTGTCAGGAAGGTTGTTTTAATGATATCTAGGTCAAGTTGAAGATGGGTCATCTCCGGTCAAAAACTAGGTCACAGGAGCTAAAAATAGAAAAAGCTTGTTAACACTCTAGTGGCTGCAGTTTTGATTCAAATATTCTGGAAATTTGTCAGGAAGGTTGTTTTGATGATTTCTAGGTCAAGTTCGAAGATGGGTCATGTCTGGTCAAAAACTAGGTCACAGGAGCTAAAAATAGAAAAAGCTTGTTAACACTCTAATGGTTGCAGTTTTCATCCAAACATTCTGGAAATTTGTCAGGAAGGTTGTTTTGATGATTTCTAGGTCAAGTTCGAAGATGGGTCATCTCCGGTCAAAAACTAGGTCACAGGAGCTAAAAAAAGAAAAAGCTTGTTAACACTCTAGTGGCTGCAGTTTTCATCTAAATATTCTGGAAATTTGTCAAGAAGGTTGTTTTGATGATTTCTACGTCAAATTCGAAGATGGGTCATCTCCGGCCAAAAACTAGGTCACAGGAGCTAAAAATAGAAAAGCTTGTTAACACATTAGGGGCTGCAGTTTTCATCCAAATATTCTGGAAATTTGTCAGGAAGGTTGTTTTGATGATTTCTAGGTCAAGTTCGAAGATGGGTTATCTCCGGTCAAAAACTAGGTCACAGGAGCTAAAAATAGAAAAAGCTTGTAAACACTCTAGTGGCTGCAGTATTGATTCAAATATTCTGGAAATTTGTCAGGAAGGTTGTTTTGATGATTTCTGGGTCAAGTTCGAAGATGGGTCATCTCAGGTCAAAAACTAGGTCACAGGAGCTAAAAATAGAAAAAGCTTGTTTACACTCTAGTGGCTGCAGTTTTGATTCAAATATTCTGGAAATTTGTCAGGAAGGTTGTTTTGATGATTTCTGGGTCAAGTGCTAAGATTGGTCATGTCCGGTCAAAAACTAGGTCACAGGAGCTAAAAATAGAAAAATCTTTTTAACACTCTAGTGGCTGCAGTTTTGATCCAAATTTCCTGGAAATTGGTCAGGAAGGTTGTTTTGATGATTTCTAGGTCAAGTTTGAATATGGGTCGTGTCCGGTCAAAAATTAGGTCACATTGCCCAAATATGGAAAAATCTTTATAACACACTAGAGGTCACATGTTTGACTCAGTTGTCATCAAACTTGGCCATGATGCTTGTTTAAGACATTGCTTGGATGCGGTTGTGTCAGGTGAGCAATCCAGGGCCATCATGGCCCTCTTGTTTGTTTATAATTTTTCTTAAATATACATGTATATATTACTCCATATAAATTACAGGATATTTTTATATTTACTTTCTTTTTACAGTCATTAATTTTACACTTTTTTCCAACTACAAAAAATCTTTGGAAGAGGCTGGCTAGTGGGTTGAATACAAAAGCAAATTATCTGTAAACCTTACCCAGCTGAAACTTAAAGCAATTCACCTTTGCCACCAGTATATCAGTATAGAACCATGCCAGTCTGTACATCCAAGCAGTCTGACAAAGTTCTATACTATCAGCTGACAAACTTCAAATTTTCATCCTGATATCCCCAAAATTGATAATGAACAGTTACTAACATGGACAAGTCCATATAAGAAATTCAGTAGGATAATGTTTACAGCTTATTACATGCTTCTGGATTCCTAAAATAGCTTATCTCTTTATCAACATTTGATATCATCACTTTAAAGATAGCTTGCATGTTCATTTGCCATCTTTTGTATCTACCAATGTTTCATTACTCCTAAGCATTCCATTTGCTTGCTGTAAACATTTTGCAAGAATAACCAAATATTCAAGGTTTTTGTATAAAAATAAAATGCAAAAGGGATAGAGAGCAGTTTTTAAAATTTGAATGTAAACTCTTTATTAATTTGTCTTACAAAATTATGGATTAGAATCAGAGACAGTACAAAATTTTAAATGCATTTAAAACCTCATTTTACTAAAATATCCTTGAAGTCTAATGTGAAATTGTTTTCCTCACATTTAGTTTTAGATCATTATTCTTCTATTTTAATATTAGATATTGATTTTTAGATATTTAGCCATTCATACTGAGAGTAACTAACATTTGATTTCTAATTGGAATTTGAATTTGGATATTACACATTAGATTGAGATAATAGTCATGTAGTTATAAAGCATCGAAAATAAGAGGGAGGCTTGCTGTTCCCTAGAAAATGGAGAATGTCTTTCTGAAAAGAACTTAAAATATGTGTTAAGATATTATTGTGCAAAAAAGAAATAATAATAATAAAAAAATATGAGTTTCAACATTTAAAAAAAAAACTGCTCCTGCGCTAATGTGTAGTGTATTATTAAATGTCATTGAATATTGTATGGTTTGAAAGCTTGTGGATGTAGAACTGCACCTTTGCTAACCACATGTAGTAGAGAGTATAGTGTGTGGTGTATAATGTATATACACTGGTTGTTTATATATTACACAGCTCCCTGATGAACCAGATCAGGAGCAAGATGTAGCAGAAAATGACTCCCAAGATGATCAGGTACACAAACATATCATTCATTAAACTAATCTTCCCTTAAAACACAGATCTTATTATGTTTCAAAATCTAGGTGTGAAAAAAAAAATATATATGAGAAAGTCTGGAAAATGTTTGGCCTTGATTGATAGGGCAATGTCTCTCAACCTTGACTCTAACACATGAGTTAAGGTTTTGCATGCTGCTTCATTTCACATATTTTGTTGAAGGTATTCACTTGAACCTTTACGCATTTCACTGTTAATAAACTGATTTACAAAATTGATATGTATTTTCGCTTGTTGGAAAGTCAGTTTGGCATTCCTATTGCTTATTTGCCTTTAACACAAAGCAAACTTTTTCAAAAAGTTTACTTTTCATCAGCTTTAGTAATTCATGAATAGAGAACAGAATCTTCAGAAAAATATGAAGGGTGTAATCACTGTTATTTGATTGGATAGTCAATGTCTTCAACTGCATTATATCCTACTACAAGATGTAGTTTATTTCCTGACATAAGTGTCCGAATATTTAGTCTTCATGGCCTAGTACAGTGTAGTATCATAACCATAGATTAGATCAGAACTATTAGTATTCTGACTTCTTTAATTCTTCAGCATTTGTATATACTAATGATTTTCCAGTATAGATGTAAGTACTAAACGTTTCAAGATATAGTTTATACATACTCTGTGCTTGAAAAAGTCATTTATTACCCGTATTTAAGAAATAGCTTTAATCACTACCATATTTCACTAATTCCCCATAATTTTATTTAATTGTACTGTAGCTATATGATAATTATGCATTATGCACTTCTTTATGAAATACTGTGAAATCATGAATATTTGCAAGTGAGAAATTTATATAACCTGAAAAAAGGCATCAATACTACATTGCAGAATTATACATACTATCAGAGTTTTACTATGTACACAATGAAGGCCGGAAGCATGCTTTATTTCACAACAACACACTCGCTTATATTATTCCCTGCCTGTACAATATGTTACCATTGCACATGTTTAGTTGGTTTCAAAATCCATAATACTGAATTTAAATTAATGTTGTTTTCCAAAATTTATTATTCTCAAAGTATTTGTTAAAATTGACAAAATGTATCTATAGTATTTTCTGCAGATTGGAATCACAATATATCTTGATTATAAGTGTATTCAGAAGTTTGTAATTTATCATTCAGGTCAACGGCCTTCGTAATTGTATTACTACACATCTGAAGTCCCCTAGTCTATACTTTACCACAAAGAACACAAAATCATTATATATTTCCTTATTTATTTTATATTTTACTTGTCATTGAAAATCCCCAGTTTTATTTTAACCCATTGCTTCATGAGCATTTTGTGAAAAATGGCTGTTTTCATTGAAAAGTCTCCCGTTACAAGTTCAAATTGCTATAATACTATAAAAACTGCTTCAACACTAATCAAACTTGGCACAAATGTTGACTGGACCATTGTCCTTGCAACAACATGCTCAGACTTAAATTTTCTGTTACCATGGCAACGAGGGGACATCTCAAAATTGCCAAAAATCACTATTTTGCGTTGATTTTTTCCATCAAAATTGATTTCAAAGTGCTGCAACTTATCAATGAAGTGAGATAGAGTCAAATGCTTTTCAGCGTTGGTTACACATTACCTTATGATCAATCTGGGGTCATTTACAGCCTCTCACAAGTCCAAAATTTTCTTGGCGATGAGGGGGACGCCGCCCCCCTTCAAACCCCCCAAAACAGAAGGGGGCACATCCCCCTTCTGGCAACCCCCTGATGTATCTTTTGGTTGGGGGCCGCGCCGAAAAAGAGGTCAATTTTTTAACAACATTTCTCAAACAAAAACAAGTGTTTGGGGCCTAAATAAGGCATTTTTTCATCATTTGAGACAACAAAAAGGGGGGGGTGAAAAAGGCGTTAAAAGGCGTGTATATGAAGTAATGGGTTAACTGAAAATGATGAAAATACTTGAAATTACCCTAAATCGCGTTTTTTCATGTTTAAACATGGCCTGTCATATAAATTTGAAGAAAAATTGTTGTTTTGTAGATTTTTTTTATTTTTTTCATGAACCCATTGCTTCATGAGCATTTTGTGAAAAATGGCTGTTTTCATTGAAAAGTCTCCCGTTACAAGTTCAAATTGCTATAATACTATAAAAACTGCTTCAACACTAATCAAACTTGGCACAAATGTTGACTGGACCATTGTCCTTGCAACAACATGCTCAGGCTTAAATTTTCTGTTACCATGGCAACGAGGGGACATCTCAAAATTGCCAAAAATCACTATTTTGCGTTGATTTTTTCCATCAAAATTGATTTCAAAGTGCTGCAACTTATCAATGAATTGAGATAGAGTCAAATGCTTTTCAGCGTTGGTTACACGTTACCTTATGATCAATCTGGGGTCATTTACAGCCTCTCACAAGTCCAAAATTTTCTTGGCGATGAGGGGGACTCCGCCCCCTTCAAACCCCCCAAAACAGAAGGGGGCACATCCCCCTTCTGGCAACCCCCTGATGTATCTTTTGGTTGGGGGCCGCGCCGAAAAAGAGGTCAATTTTTTTAACAACATTTCTCAAACAAAAACAAGTGTTTGGGGCCTAAATAAGGCATTTTTTCATCATTTGAGACAACAAAAAGGGGGGGGGGGGTGAAAAAGGCGTTAAAAGGCGTGTATATGAAGTAATGGGTTAACTGAAAATGATGAAAATACTTGAAATTACCCTAAATCGCGTTTTTTTCATGTTTAAACATGGCCTGTCATATAAATTTGAAGAAAAATTGTTGTTTTGTAGATTTTTTTATTTTTTTCATTAACCCATTGCTTCATGAGCATTTTGTGAAAAATGGCTGTTTTCATTGAAAAGTCTCCCGTTACAAGTTCAAATTGCTATAATACTATAAAAACTGCTTCAACACTAATCAAACTTGGCACAAATGTTGACTGGACCATTGTCCTTGCAACAACATGCTCAGACTTAAATTTTCTGTTACCATGGCAACGAGGGGACATCTCAAAATTGCCAAAAATCACTATTTTGCGTTGATTTTTTCCATCAAAATTGATTTCAAAGTGCTGCAACTTATCAATGAAGTGAGATAGAGTCAAATGCTTTTCAGCGTTGGTTACACGTTACCTTATGATCAATCTGGGGTCATTTACAGCCTCTCACAAGTCCAAAATTTTCTTGGCGATGAGGGGGACGCCGCCCCCCTTCAAACCCCCCAAAACAGAAGGGGGCACATCCCCCTTCTGGCAACCCCCTGATGTATCTTTTGGTTGGGGGGCCGCGCCGAAAAAGAGGTCAATTTTTTTAACAACATTTCTCAAACAAAAACAAGTGTTTGGGGCCTAAATAAGGCATTTTTTCATCATTTGAGACAACAAAAAGGGGGGGGGTGAAAAAGGCGTTAAAAGGCGTGTATATGAAGTAATGGGTTAAACAAAGTAGTCATTTCATTTGAGACCATGTCAAGGATTTATGTCTTGTCTGATTTCACAGTATTCATGAATAATATTTGATGCTTTATTTGCTATTCATTGTAAATGTGTTATCATCCGCAATGCTGGCAAATACTCGAGAGATGTTTTGCAATTATTTTACAATTTTAGCTTCTTAATTTAAAAAGCTCAGATATTTGCATAACTGCTTCAAGTCATAAGAGGGTGAACCTAGCCTCTGAAACAGTATTTTTGTGGATAATTTTCAAGTTCAAGTAAAAAAAACTGTGAATTTGGATGGAGGGGGAAGTTGGTATCAATCATTGACCAGTCCCAAAATTTTTGCATATGATTAATTGAATTTAAATACTGACCCTAAATGTTGCGTTTTGAAACTGGTTTATCAGTTGCATAGCCTTCAGTCTATATTGCATTTACCTAGGAGAAAAATGAATGCAAATCACAAATAAAAAGCAGATTGGATTGATAAATGGTTCTGAATTGTCTTTGAATGTAAACAGAGGAAAATGAGAATAAACATATGTGTGATGTTTATTTTCTTGGGGAAATCTGCTTTTGTAAAGTAATAAGATGTTAAAAACTATTTGGTACTAGGCAGGATAATAAGAAAAAATTTGAAGAAAATGATGATTAGAAAAAGATTGCCAATTTGAGAGTTAAACAGCTTGAATTTACATTCAAGAAGAGAGATTTAGCTTTACTGTCAGGGAAAGGTAAAATGTCACTGTCAGAACTACGTAGCTTTAGTGCAGAAATAGTAAGTGCTGTGTGAATGATTGCAATGCATCAATCTTAAAGCAGCTGGTCTTCTGTATTGGGAATATTGAATTGCTGCAATTATGCTAGGGATTTATTTCAAGCCTGCTATTGAAATAACAAAACTTGTGTGCAATATGAATACTTTGTGGTCTTCTGGTTAAATGCATTTTTTTTGTAGCATTGATATTATATTTATGTATATATTGAACCTTTTTGGATTTTTGTCACATATTGTTTTCCATTATTCATATTATTATTTTCCATTATTCATACTAAATCTTGTTATTTTGTATGACAGAGGAGATCCTTGATTGCCGCTGACACCAATGAGCCAAACTGTGATAGTAACAACAGCAGCAACCGAAATAGCGTGGTGGTTGAAAACAACGATGCCGATGCTGCCCCGCCCACCAATCAGCCTGTCAATAACTCGGACACACCCACCACCGCACCCACTACTACCAGTGATACACCAAAACTAGATAACACTGTCAATATCACCATAAATAATGAAAATGACATAAATATTCTCAGTCAGCAGAACAATAATGCCAATCCAAACAAATCCAGCGACAAAGGTATGTTCTATTTGCTTTTTGTACACTATCATTTTACTGGAAAGACAATGCAATAGATTTTACAGTACCTGGCTTTTGTGGAAACAAATTATGTGTTTATAAGTACAGCTATTAGTTGTCTTTATGTCCAAGTTTGCCAAAGGATAATACTCCTTTACCTCTTTTAATCCAATGCAATCAGGATTAAACCTATGAAGGTCAGTTCTTATTTTTGGGTGCACACTTGTGTCTGAAATGATAGGCTGTACATACAGTCACTGGGGTGGTACTTGTGCTGACATTAGAAAGCCATTTGCCAAATTATTATGCATCTTACTTAGAACAGGCAGCATTTAGTATAAACACTTTGGTATTAATGATGGAAACAAGATTTATATTATTATTGGTTAGTTACATAGTGTCAGAAAGGCACATGCCTGCTGTAAACAGTTTCTCTTTCCAGCTTGAACCCCCTAGATATTCAACTCGGATGTTGTAAAAATTGTGACTGTAGAAATTGAATTCTGTATAAGTTTATTTGTCTGTAGATGAATTCACATAAATCAATTCTCCCATTGTCTGCTGGATTGTGACATGGAAATTTATCAAGTTAATTCAGTGACATTCTTTTTATTTTCCTGAAGTCTACATCACTTTCCAATTATGTACAACATTTTGTAATGCGTTTGTGGCAAAGAAATAAGCAATGTTAGTAAAGGAGTGATTATTTTAAGTAGAGTCTGTTTATATCTTGACTGACTGCAATTAAAGGGGTAATAATTAGTTAAGTGTACTCTGTAGCTTTATTGAAACATTCTATATTTAGTCATATTATAAGCTAAGATGTATGAAGGATGTCTGAAGCTTTTATTTGAAAAGTAAGAAAAAAGGAAATTATAAATGTAGATTTCATTGTGCTGATAAGTACACGATGTAGAAATATGTACTGATGAATATTACAAAACTTGATGTTAATTTGAACCACATCTTTCGTTCAGTATATTAGAAATCATTTTGATTTACTTTTTTAACGCTTGCCATAAAAAAACTTCAAAGGCCACATTGATCTGATTTACTGAAAGTAGGAGTTTCCTCTATAGATCTGCTTATGAAAAAAAAAATCTCTCAAAATTAGAAACGCTATCACTAATTATATTTTATTGATTTACAAACCATTGAAATAATGTTTTTAACATTCAGATACACTTGATAAGTCAAGTTTAAGAGAACAAGAAGAAAACCTGAAAAATTCCTCAGAATCTCTGCCAAACAATGTATGTAAGATTGTCGACCAAAAGGAAAACCTCGATTTGAAAAATCCAACAACAATCACCGATTGTGAATCTCCAACAGTTGAAACCAGCAAAGGTATATCAACATCAACGAGTGGCGATTCTATAAGTGTGTCAGTGTCAGAGTGTAACGGACATGATTCTCCAGTTAAGGAGACGGCCAGTGTGACGGCTGGTAATATTGACAATGATGTGAGTGTGACAAATAACTGTGATGATAATGTAATGGATCAAGAATCTGACGAGCGAGGTCAAAGTCAAGAGGACCGAGAGCAGGACTGTGCTGATGATGACCAGGAGAAAGGCGATGGAGATGCATCCTCAATGAATGATGGTAAGTCTAACTTTTATTATTATTTCTTATAAAGTTGCTAAATCATGTTGATTGTTTTAGAATTTAGTTTCACCTTGGTGTTTAACTTGTAAATTAAGCAAATTCTGAAAGTTTTGAATTATGTTATATAGACACCATGACTGTCCATAGACAAAGTCAAGAAAGCTACCATGTTCAACATACATTGTTAATAAGAAAGTTGTCTTCATAAAACTTCATTGAAATCTCTAAATTATCTATTGCCGCCAGAATGCTGTGTTGCAATCAAGGGATAATATTACTGAAGATGATTAAATGTAATTATCTTAAAATACCTATATATTTGTTTTAAATGTATATTTGTTTTAAGTTCATTTATATATTCACTGCCTTCATTAAAAAGTAATTTTGTTTAAGAATTCCTTTTGGCCTGTCTATAATTTTCAGTGATCTTTGATCCAGTTAGAGAAATCTGTGAGATCCCATGTAAACTGGCAGATCTGGGAAATGCCTGTTGGACTGTGAGTATTTTGTTTGTTTATACAATTCTTAAAGAATTACCTAAGTCAATGGACAATATCAATGCCTGTCACTTTTTCATCAGCATGTAAATTAAATTTGAAGTCAGGGTATGTTACATGTTGTAAAGAATGGTTGCACAGTAAAGTAGACATAATTTATATAGAAACTTTTGACAAATGGTTAAGGTCTTTTCTTATTATTTTCCTCATTTCAAGTTAGGTGACAGTGCTAGAATGACTTAAAGCACAGCTTTTCTTCTACTAGTACATAAAAGAGCAAACCCAGTCACCTCTTTACGCTATAAGCAGCTTTTAAACTATAAGTGTCCCAGAATCAACATTTCACTTTTACAAATAAATTCATTAACATGTGATTTAATTGAATTTGTTGAATTCTTTTTCGCAAAAAGAATTTCATTCCGCTTGAATGAGGCTTAAATGCCTCCCATCCACCCAACCAACAGTAATTGCATATAAAAATTTTCAACTTTAACCAAGGTACATACGAGGGCTGTTCAAAAAGTTCGTGGACTGCGGCTCTACTGTTCACATCTTTTAATTTGCGTATATGATTTTACAAGAGACATATATGAAAATATGTCCTTGATAAACAGTGAAAAAATCTATACAATATGTTTACAAATAAAAATTCTGTGACAGTTACAAATCACAAGGGGTGCACAATCCGGCGCACGCTGATGATGAAACAAAATGACGTTCGTGACGTTGCAGTATAAATGAAACATTTTACCAGCGTCATTGTTTCTGAAAGTAGTCTTTTTAGTGTTCAATATCTGCAGATCATATACCAAAACCATTTTTCTGTTGGTGATGATGACCCGAGATATAAAGTGGTCATCAATTCGCTCCATTCTCCGTATAAAGGTCCAAGTGCCGCATACTTTCCGCTCTTTATCGGGATTTTTGTGTAATTTAGACACTAAACGGACAGTGTTATTAAGTTAATTCAATTGTTGATTGATAGTATCAATTTGAAACCGCCCTCGTCCGATCTTTAAACAATATGATTATCGATGATAAAGAAAATATTTTATCAACTGACAATTATTCTATGCGGTAAATCTACTGAACACCGGCTAGCATTAATTATCAAACGGACCAGGGTAAATACAGGAAATACAAATAATAACCACAAGTATTTATTGTAAATACGCATATATCCTGATGAATGAAATAAAATATTATTTTAATTAAATTAAATTGTTTTGTCAGAATTATGCCGAAATTAAACATGTCGGACATCTCGCAAAACTGTCATAATGCCTGAACTTCTGTAGATCTTTTGCAATTGACGTTTCAAATGTCCCAACAATTTGCCGCTAAAATTATTCGTCGCCCTTTCTGTCTGTGAGCATGTATTTGCCGTATTTGAATCGCTTGCGCGACCTGAAACCAAGAGACTTGCTCGACAACTCATTGTTTTTCGTTAATTTAATCACCTCATGAAAATATAAAGGAGTATACCACATATATTGGTAAAAATATTCGAAAGAGCGAATTTCTAGTTTTTAAAGGGGGTTTTTACCTCCCAACTTACCCGTCTGTCTACTGCTGCTCAAAACTTGTTTGTTCAGCTATTCAACGTCCAAACGACGCCAAAGTCAGATTTATGTCATTTAAATATTAAAGATGATTACTTGTATTTAACTTCATAAAACAATCATTTAATTTGTTTCAACATTTGTTTATATTTAAGCATTATATGAAAATGTCGGCGTGCGCCGATGTTGCGTTGCCATGGTTATTAAAGTGCACATGACTCGTAAAGGAAATAAAAGTTAACCATAAAAGTAAATCTTACTTTTGAAAATAAAGACACTCTTTCGATTCATATCCACTAAGGGTGTTTTTATGAACCAAGTAAAAAATGACAGCAAAAATCCACGAACTTTTTGAACATACCTCGTATATTTATATATAACAGTTCTAATGTTATAAAAATGTATTGGTTGGAAGTAATGTGAAAAATAACTTTAAAGACTGCTTTGTGCATGCACGTACATCTCATTTAAACCTCATTTTATTCTTTTTGCTTCAAATAATTACAATTAAACATCAACTTTAACCAAGGTAAGTTTCGTTTATTTTTTTTAAATTTTCAGTATCACCATTTTACGGAGGATATTCAGACTCGACAGTACAGATGTCTAGAAGTGTTGGTTGGTGCTGGTTATGGTACCCCAGCTGATATCTGGAGTACAGCATGTATGGTAAGTCATATGTTCTCTGGTAATTTGTCAATATTTGTAGGTGTATTTTACATTAGAGTTTTGATCTAAGTAAATAGAATTTTGCCTTACTGTGAAACAGTAGAAATCAACCCATCTGTAATTCACACTATTTCTGTGCATTATTTAATTAGCACCCGACATTGTACGCCTGGCTTTCCTAAAGAGCCCCCCACACCAACCCCTACCTCCTCCCCCCACATGTATCCCCCCTACTTCCTCATGCCTGATTGTGTAAAGTTTGTAAACTGCATTGACGGAAATTTAATGGTGATTTTACCATTTTTCCCCCACTGGTCAAAAAGATTTTACCAGTGCTTTACTGTCAAAGTCCAACTATTCTCCATGGTTTGAGTTACAAATGACCTTGTGCATTACTTGTTGTAGAACCATCCAGTTTATTGATATAATTAATTTTTTTCAGGCATTTGAGTTGGCAACAGGTGATTATTTGTTTGAGCCTCATTCTGGAGGAGAGGAATATTCAAGGGATGAAGACCATCTTGCACACATTATAGAACTTCTGGGACCTATACCTCGACATATAGCACTGTCTGGAAAATACTCGAGAGAATTCTTTAATAGGAAAGGTATGGCGTTTGGTTTTCCGTCTTAATTTAGACGAAAACCTGCTTTGTCTTTGCAATACAAACTGACTTCGAATTAATACTTGTTACCTTTTGAACATCTTATGTCATATAAAAATGTCATGTATTTTTTCTTTGAATTGAAAAAATAAAATCAGTCATAGTAACACCTGTAATTACTTAATCCTATAATTTTGTTGTGATATTTACCCAGAAAAAATAACTCGGTCATCAATAATTCCTGTAATTACTTAATCCTATAATCCTGTTGTGATATTTACCCAGAAAAAATAACTCGGTCATCAATAATTCCTGTAATTCTTAAATCTATATCTTAGTGATATTTACCCAGTAATTGTTCAATATTTAGTGATATTTACCTATTTTTTTGCAGGAGATTGAAAAAATTAAAACCAAGTTAAAACCATGGATTTATTAAACCTGTCAGAGAAATCAGGGGGACCCCGGGAGGCTCGGGTTTTTTGCGATTTTCTTTCCTGTTCCTTTTGGCCGAAAAAAGGGCCCCAATGTGGCGAATTTTAAACACCGGGTTAAAATATAGTCAGTTTTTGATTTTAATCGGTCGGCTGAAACTGATTTTGTCTGTCTAGCCTATTCATTTGTCATTTTTTTTTGTACCCCCCTTTGTTTTATTTTTGGGGGAATAAAATTCCCATTTTGAATTTAGTTTATTTTTTTTTTTTTTTCTAAAAAAGAAAAAACAAAATTTTCATGCTATTCTTGGAAATAAGTAATGAATTATTCTCTTTTGTCTCTTTTTAAAAATGAAAACAAACCTGTGTTTTGAGCATTTGATATTTCATACAGGTTAAATTGATTAAGGGACTTTTAAAAGACTGCTTTCACTACCAAAAAGTTGCAATGCTTGGCTTTTGAGCCGACTTTTCATGAAAAAATAGTCATAGAATTGATACATGCTTTTGCATGAATATTGTTTAAAGTATTTATCCAGTGCTAATGAAAAATTATTTGGAATGAAGTCTGTAAGCCTGACCACAGCAAAAGAAACTTCATAGTACTTATACTTTGTACTATAAGTACCGTATTTATTATCAAATGCTTGAATGCTTGGTTTAAAAATGGACCTGTGGTAGATTTTCATGTTACCAGTTTTGTTGCTTTGTGCGTAAGTTTTGTTGCTTAAATAATGGGCCTACAGGTTTTTTACACTTGAAAATATCCCCAAATACATAAATAAAAAATTTAATTAAATCATTAAAAAGTTTTTAAATTAAAAGGAAATTTTTTAAAAAAGGAAGGGGTTTTTAAAGGGGGTTAAAAACCCTCTTGAAATTGATGAATTTCTGTTTTTTGGGGGACACCCAAATTTTTGACAGGTTGGGAAAGATTTGATTTGTATTTAAAAAAGTTTTTGTTTCATTTAAAACAAGTTTGTAAATTTAAAAGATAATAAAATACAAAGCTGAGGAAAATTTTTTCCAAAAAAGTTGTTAAAAAACAAAAAAATATTAAAAATTATATAAATAATTTTAATATTTTAATAATATTATATTAAAATTTTTAAAAATTTTTTATTTATATATGTTTATAAATGTTATTTCCAACTTAACCCCCGTTTTTACACCCGATTTGTGCTTGAGAGACAAAAAAAAGTTTTTTGTTTTTTTTTTTTTTCTTTTTTGTTTTTTTTGTTTGTTAGAAATAGTTTTTTTAAAATTTTTATGGTTTAAAAAAAATTTTGGACCCCAAAGGTATATGTGGGACCCGCTGTATTTAAAAACAAAAAACTAAAAAAAGGGGGTTTGAAAAAATTTTTAGAAAAATTAAATGGTTTGTGGGGATGGGTTTAAATTTTTAAAAGTTTGACAATTTTTTCCCCCCTTTTTTGTTTTTAAAGTAAATTGGGGCCCGCAATAAAAATTAAATTAAAAAAAGGTATGTTTTGGTTGGGAAATTTAATTTTTTTGGGGGTTTCAGATTTTTGAATTGAAAAATTTTTAAAATGGGGTGTTTTATTAAAAAAAAATTTTTTTAAATTTTTTAGCAAATAAATTTTTTTGGGAAAAATTTTTAAAATATTGTGGTTTCCCTTAATAGGAAATTAATTTTAAATGATTATTTTGAATTTTTTAACCCCTTTTCCTGCTGGAAATGGTTAATTATGTCTTTCCCCATAAGGGCCGCCGTCTGCGATCCCCCGGTTCCCAAAAAAAAAATCCCCATATGTTGGTAAAAATTTTTTCAAATTTTCATCCCCAATCCTTCCCAAATTTTTTTCAAGGCATTTTTTAAAAAATTTTTTGTTAAAACAAGTTTCCCCTTTAAAGAAAATTCGGGAGGTAAGGGTTTTAAAACCTTTGGCGAATATTTTTTACCCGCCTTTTTCTTCAATCAAAGGTTTTATTCCCGATGCAAAAACAAATGCAAAATTTTGAAAAAAGGTAATTTAGAAAAGAGGCTTTTGTTCAAACCAAATGCCATTTGGGCAGGTTTTTGCTTGAATTTTTTGAAAAGGGCCCAAACGGATGTGTTTTTTTTATAAAGTTTTCTAAACCCTTGGGTTTGATTTATGAAAAACGGAACCAAACGGAATGTGTTTTTGATAAGTTTTCCCAAAACCCTTTGGTTTGTTTTGGATTGGAAGGGGAAAGTTTATTTGAAAATTTTATAAGATATTTACAGCCAAAAAAAATTTCTGAAATTATTTTTAGTTTTTATCGGAAGTCTCCGATCCTGTGGATTAATTTTCCCGGTATTTTTTAAAAAAATTTTTGTTTATTTTGAAAAGAAAAAAAATATAAAAACATCCAAAAGGAAAAAGGGGAAATATTTTTAAATTTTAAAAGGGAAAGAAGAAAAAGATGTGATATTTAAAAGTGTTTTCAAGTTTTTAAAATTTGGAAAAAAAAACATTTAATTTTTTAGTGAGAAAAAAAAGTATGTTAAACTGTATTTTTTATTCCAATATTCAATTTTACCCCAGATGAAAAAAATCCCTTTTTTTTATTGGGTTTTTATAAAATTAAATTTTCATGATTTTTTTTTAAAAATCCCTTTGTTTTTTTGTTATTGTTTAAAAGAAGTAAATACTAAACAGTGTAAATTAAAAAAAAATACATGTTCATTTTTAAATTGAAGGGTTATGGGGAAAAAATGCATTTTTCAAAATGTCTTTTAACTGAATATTGATTACATGTATTTCTAAATTGAAAAATTTTTTAAATAGTTTAAGCTTTTTTAATAGTACTGTACTTATTATACTAAAAGTTCTGGGGCAAACCCGTCAAGAATTATTTTTTTCTTGCTCCCTTTTTTCCTCTTTTAAAAAAAAAACTTCCCCCCAAAATCTTTGAAAAGCAAAAAAAAATTTTTATATTGCTATGTATTGTTTTTTTTCTACCACAAGGGGTGTTTTCATGTGGCACACTTCACTGACATCATATTCAGTTTACTTTGGAAAAAAAATAAGAGTGAAACTTTCAGCATTTAAAAGGCATATGCTTTGAAATACTGAAATTCTTTTATATATCTTGCCGAATGAAACAGAATTATATGAAATATTCCTCGTTTCAATGCATAGCACTTTTGTCGAAGAGTTCATAATTGTATAAAGTATTTGCCATTTGAATGATGATACTTTTAAGTTTTAAAGTAAAAATTAAATGGAATGTATAAGCAGTTAAAAACTTTCTAGTCAGAGAGATTTTTTTTTTTTTTTTTAATAAAAGGGCATTGCTGGAACAGAGAGTAAGTGATCTTAATAATTCTACTAGGGGTGTATTTGACACTTGATCTGTTTCAACAGGAAAAAACGCAAGGGGAAAAAAAAATAAAAACTATTAAAAGTGTTTTAAAAAAATTTTTAAAATTTCCCTTTTTAAAATTTTTAAAAAACGATGTTAGATTAGGGGGAAAGTTTAAAATTTGGGGGAAATTAGTTTCATAAAATTTTAAGGGGGAAAAAGGGGGGGAATTTTCAGTTGGTTTTTACCCTTACAAAATGTTTTATAATTTATGAGATGTTTTAAAACTCAAAAAGAATTATCTGCTACCCGGCCCGACCAGATCAACCCGCCTCCATGTTTTTCCCATTTATGATTGCAATGTTTAGTCTTAGTTTTTTGCATATCATACCCAAAATTTTAAAGGGGTTTAAAGGAGTAAAATTTTTTTTAGTAACCCTTTGTTTGCCCGTAGGGTAAGGTCTCCACAAAGGGCTTATTTTTTATTTTTATATTTTCTTTTAAAAAAGCTGCTGTTTTTAAAAATTTATTTTCCCCTGCAAAAGGCCCGCATTTTTCCTGCTTTAAAAATTTCGCTTTGCTCTTAAATCGGTATGTATTTTTGACAGGTTTAATTTTTTGGGGGAAATTTGCACCCGAAAATTATTGTGAAGTATTTTGTTTATTTTTTAAAGAAAAATAAATTTTTAAAAGTGCACTTAAAAAAAAGGTAGTTGTTCCGGGCCCGGCTTTTTTGCCCACATTTTAATGTACATGTCATCTAAAAAATATTGTTTTTTCCCCTTATGATAAAAAACCTACCCTCCTTTAACCTTCGGGAAAAAATTGCATTTTTAAAAAAGTTTCTGTAATTTAAGTTAGCAGGACTTGCGATTAAAGTTTATGCAAAATATCGTGTTGTTTTTACTTTTTCCTGTGTTTGCCCGTCTAAGGATTCTGAATGTGGTTTGACTTGACTGTTGTGGGCTCAAATCCTGCAAGGGACTTTGGATTCTTTCATGCAAAGGAATTTATTAGCTAGATTGCCAAAAGGTTCTACTCGGGGTACCAGGTTGCAATTGATATAATGCAAGGAGGAGCAATAGAGGTCAGCTAGTAAACCTGTTACCGATAAGTTCAAACGTGTGAAATAATCCTAACCAAAAATAATCAAGTCATGATGGACTTAGATTTTTTGCTCTTGCAAAACAAGCTCATATTTTCTATATGTAGAAGTAGGTCACTGGAACATCACCCCTCGTGAAATGGTCATTTTGACCAAAGGGCCATGATATCAACATTTCTTTTAGAGGGTACATACCTCAAAACAGCAGTTGAAGAAAGCAAAGTTAAGTCCATATGAAAAACTTTATTCATTGCGAGTTAGGAAGACAGAGTTACCTACGTTTCAGTTCAGTAAAAAAAACATCAAGGGAAGCAACTATGTTTATATTCACCATATTAATATTATAATTATCTCCCATTCTACTGAACATGATCTGAAAACATGAACCTTGAGTGCTTCAAAACTCTGGCCATTATAACAAAACGAAAGTGCATTGTTTCGCGTATATATGAGGTAAAGGGTTAATTTTCTTCTCCGAGTGCATTAGTTTAGAATAACAGCTTTATTTGTGGGCATCAGTTCATCACTTCCTGTTCATTAAAGGGTTCGTGAAAACTTGAAGCTGCAGATTGGTCAACATTAAAAACAAAACAAATCCAAATACATGAAAAACATTTTATTATCACAATTCACCGACACTATCACAAATTAGCAGAATTTACTGGCAAACAAAACACAAAACAATGAGCAGTTTATGTATAAATTAATCAATTGGTATGCGTATATCTTCATTTCAACTATGTTCCATGCCAAAAAATAGTGTAATTAATCAGATAATTATTACCCCCAACCTTAAGCTCCAATACAGAAACAAATTTTGTATTTTAAAAGAAGTTTTACCATTTTAGAAATTAATATAAGTGTTGAAATACAGATTCACATGTAATCAGACAAAAGCATTTATGGCATCCATCATCATTACATGAACATTGTGATTCAAAAATAATTATTTCCAAAAATTACAATAACATATTTTTAAGTGAATTTTAAAACGAACAAGCAAAATGAGCTTATACATACACATGTATATTTCAAGTTTCCGAGACAAAAACATTAAATGAATGAGATACTAGGCACATGTTCTCCTTAGGCCTAAGATAAGATGTTTATATCCTGAATCTGAATAGATGAATAGTTACATCACCTCATTATTTGGACTTAACTCTTTAACTAAACCTTTTTAATATATCATACTAGTACTAAAATAATAGGTTTCACACATACATTTACTTTGTATATTTCTTGTAAAATTGACATGAACTGGAAGTTCACAACACTTACTTTGCATTAACAGACAATGTTCTGTCATGTTTATTTGAATTTTCTCAACTTTATGACTTAAATGTTAAAGGAGAAAAAGGTTGCCCAAAAACTAGGTACATAATAAAACAACAAAGCGAAAAAAGAATATTTTTTTCCACAAACATTTTCCTCAACATCCAAAACACAAATCATTAATCAAGACAAAATCTTCAAATGAAAAAACACAAAATAAAAAAGCAACAAAAATCATAAATTTCCCCTCCTTTAAACATGGAAGTAACAAAGTTATGTTCATCTATTTAAACTTCATCAAATAAGAAGTAAAAGCCAGTATGAAGCACACTTCCCTACTTCTAAAAGGTTGTTAATTGTTAAAACAATTTCAATTAAAAGTCTCGTTCACAGATTAAAAGCTATCAATTAGAAAAATGACTACATTTTATTCTTATACTTGGTCTAAATAGCCTGCTTTCAATGGGCCAGCATGTTCTTTTATTCATCATCTGTTTTATATTGTATTAAACTATCATTAAAGTCTACAGACTACCTCTAAAAAAATCAATTTTTCCTATCTTCTAGAAGCAGCAGATAATGCCACTTACAAAATAATTTCCACAGGGAAGTTCTCAATACATATATGTGTTTGTATATTGATAAATCAAAGCATATAAATTGAACAGTCAGTTAAAACTGATTTTTTTGCCCTATTTTTGAAAAAAAAAAAAAATGTTATCACAGTGTTTATTTAATAAGGACCAATGAGCTAAGCAACAAACACCAAGAAAGTGACTCCATTAAAACATGTACATGCCACACTTTACATTATATTAATAGAAAGCTCTGTCCGTAGTTCATCGCACCATCTGTCTAGTCACCTTGACTGAGTAAACTCCCCTCTCACGTTTGTCTGTTTCCCGAGAAATATTCTTACACAACCGTACGAATACATAGGAACTGGCATTGTACCAGCTTTCTGCCACATGTTATTTTTTGGGTCGTAACACTCGATTACTTCTGTGTACAAGTTATCTTTCGCTCCCCTTCGTCGACCACCAAGTGCATACAGTCTTTCATCGAGAACGGCCAGACTGACAAAATCTCTTGCACAACTCATATCTGGAAGGATATCCCAGTGTTCTCTATCTGGGGAGAATCGGAACACCCCCTCCAGTCCAACTACGTAGATATCACTGTTAAAAACAACGGCACTAAGGCACATGTCATTTGCCGGCAAGTCGCAAGATAAAGTTGTACATGTTTTTGTCACGGTATCATAGCACTGAACACAATTTGTGACCACTTCATCATTATTTTTACCTCCAAACAGGTAGAGACTTTTATTATATGCGACATATCCCATGTTTTCTACAGGTTGATTGAGGCTACCACCCTCCTCCCACCTGTTCAATTCTACATCCCAGTATTCAACTGTTGCTAGAACATTATCCTCGTCAAAACCACCAAGAACAAAAATCTGGTCATCTACGGCTGACATACCGTGTCTTCTTCGTGCGTGAATCAAGTTTGGTCCTCTCAACCATGTATCAAATACCGGATCATATTTCCAGAATTCAGCACTTCTTAGCCCACCGGATACATAAATATCATTGCCGATAGTACATACAGAAAACTCGTTCCGTTTTTTAAAAGGTAGTTGTTTCAGATTGAAGAATTCATTTGTATCAGCTACATAACATTCAACATCATTACTCAGACCATCGGCTAGTCTTCCACCCAATAATATTGCAGTTTCCCAAAATGGCATGTTCTTGCGTGGCGTAATTTGATAGAGCGGCAACTGATGGCGTCTTGCAGGTATAGTGTGAAACAGTATACCATCATCCAATAACTCTTTACCCCTGTCATCACAAACAACGTGCTGCGTCTTGGACACAACATCTATTAAGAAAGTTTTTGTGAGCATAGGAAACTTTATAGTGTCTAACACCTTGTAACGGTAGCTTTTTCTCCCCGTATAATCAAACTCTAACCACTTTATCGCTGTTTCATATACAAGCTCTTCGTTTTCGCAGTTTAGATGACGATCTTGTAACAAATCAGTAATACACTCGCTCGATAGCTTATACAAATCCTCATCGTGCACAAGGCTTTGGAAGTGACTGCAACAAAATGTTTTCGCGTAATTGTACAACTGTCTGTGGGCATGTATATCGGCAAGTGTTAATGCAGACAGACAATTGTGCTCCTTCATGTTCTTCTGGAAGAAATCAACGCACAATCCAACGAGAGTTTGAATCTGGAAAATGTGAGCTTGGGCAAAAAGATCCTCTACTATAATGGCTGTGATGCTAACTTTGCCTGTGTATATAAACTTCAAGACCTGCTCAAATACGTCGCTACCTAGCTGTTGCATCCGGACCACATTCTTATGGCATTCCTCCATCCCAGACGAAAACATTGACCTGTCAAATATCAGTAAGTATATTAATAGGGTGTAAATATTTTCTACAACTTGTAACACTTAAATATCCAGGACTTGAAAACAAAGTTATGGCATATGGTTGCCATATTAATTGTAATGGTTGGTATGAAAAATTTAGTATGTTAAATTGTAGTCATTTTAAAAAATTATTACATCCTATACAAAATTCTAGAACACAGGTAGCCCAACTTATACACAGGTATCCTGACTGAAAAGACTGGTTTAAAAACAGTCTATACAATGTGCCCGACATTGTTAGTTGTATGGGGAAATTGATATCTGCATATACAAACAAGTTAACATTACTCTCTGATTGTCTATTTCAAATTTTACCATTTAAATACCTAAATCTTGGTATAAAAAAGCATATTATTGCAACTTTTTTAAATTAGTACAACATTTGTTTGTTTGTTTTTCTTGTCTTTACAGCCAATTTCCACACATTTTGGTCATATCTTAATGGCTAAGTAACTGACTTTCCTGGATAACAAACCAATAATTACCAATTTCTCTCAAGTGACTGACCATTCATCTAATATGATTTCTACAATCAGCAGTGAGACACAAATAAACGTTAGACAACCAACTGTCACAGAGAAGTTTTGTTTTGCCAGAGGACTCACCAGTGACTCCTGGATTATTAATATGATGCTCTTCCTTAATGATCCGGGTTAAAATGCAACACTGAAACGACAGAAAAATGAATAAATTTTACCTAAAATATGGGGACCCTGCTGCAAGAATCACTTTATGGCAGGCAAATTTTTGTCCTTCAACCTCTATAGTGATATCAGTAAAACCGCTGTCAACTCGGAACTGTTCCATGTTACTGATGAGGTAGCCAGAGTGTTCTCCGCTGTTATAGGCCTCGCTCTCCTCATCCTCTTCCTCCCCTCCCTCCTCATGGAGCAAAGACGCCATCTGGTGAGAGTAACATTCTAAGTGTTATTTAGAAGCAAACCAATCATAAGATAGAAATTTTAAAAAACTTTTCTGATCTATGCCTGAGTCACAGAGTGACAACATACTGAGGAAGATACATGGAATATACATGGAAGATCCGGAAACCAAACGTGTTAGTCTCATTAAATAAAGTCGTTACTTACTTAAACTTGCTTGCCTGCTTGCTTAAACTTGCTTGCTTGCTGACTTACGTCAAACGTACATACGTATGTACGCAAGCAACTTACTTACTTTACTTTACTCTACTCTACATTACTTACTTACTATACAATTTTTGAAACATCTTGGTCAAGTAATCTTGTGTCTAGAGTCAGGTTCAGGCATTTAGACATGCAAAATCAGAGTCACAATATTCTGGCAATTTTGTTCCAATCAATATGCTTATTGCTAATCTAGCAAACACTAAGCCTAATTTCACTAACAGTAGATTGATCGGTTAAAGTGATTAATTCCAAAACACAACAGAATCAAACAACCATACTTGGTGACAAATCATAAAATAATTGCAACTTATTTAAAACAGTCAATATAAAAATATACAGTCCCCTGTCACTTGGGAGAATGCAACATAAATTTTCCACAGACAGTAAAATAGCTATAGTAATTTTATTCTCACTGAAATTATCAAACTGCTACAACTTTTCATCCACTAACATATTTAATGATACTTTTCCCAGATTTTCAATATGATTCTCTGGAATTGATCACAGTGTTTTAACATAGCAGAGAACTCGTATAAAATTCAATCCGTTATATCTTTTGTAATTTACATGTATAAAAAGTCCATTTCTAACAAAATGATACTTTGTAATGTCTTATAATTATCTAACCTCTAAAATAATTCCTTTTATATCAGACTTAAATGTCAATACATACTGCAGAAAAAAAACAACAACAGATATGACCACCTCTACAAATTACCACATAAGCTCAAAGGATTCAAACATTGTCAGAAAGGTGTTCATTATAATTAGTATATATTTTGTTTCCATGGTAACTTGTGTCTTACATTGAATACAATGTATCACAGTATCACATATTTTTTGTTAATTATTCAAACAGTTTGTCTTTATGTTCTGATTAAAGAAGAAAAGATAATTAAATTATGTGATAAAGAAGAAAAGGTCACAATTTTAATATCATGTGATAAAGAAGAAAAAATCACAATTAAAATGTAACATGTAAGGTAGAAAAGATCACACTTCAAATTATCTAATAAAGAAAAGATTACAATTTATAATCTCTGATAAAATGAAAAGATCACAATTAATATTTTGCAATTAGGAAGGTCACAAGTAATATTGTCAGATAAAGAAGAAAAGAACTCAATTTATACTCTTTGATAAAGATGAAAACCACAAAATTCACTGAGATCTGCCACTATTTACCACAGTGTGGCACTGATAATATCAAAATATACCCATGGACAATTCTTATTTTATAAAATTGGCCCATCATTCTCAAACCAAGTGGGCCCATGGCCAAGTACTTTAATTTCTCAGCAGATCTTTGCAAATAATATTTTTTGACAGTTACAAGAAAAGATCACATGTCAATTAAAATTAGAAAAATCACAATTCACATTCTCTGATAAAGAAGAAAAAATCACAATTTACCATGATACAATATAGCCTTCTAATATAATCATGTAGCCCAACACAAGGCATTCTTAACACTGACAAACCGTAACTTTGGAATTCTATACAACAATGAACATCCTTACATGATAAGAATAGATAACAAAAAAAGGAAGATATTACTTTTTTCCTCCTCAACATTTAACCCTATTTCCTCTTTACCTTATTCCTTGTTCCAGCATCTTCAATGCATTTATATTGAGGTTTATAGATTATTAAATTGTGGGATTTTATTTCCTTGATAACCAGAATTAATGTTAAAAAAAACTAGAGCTGACAACCATACATTGACACTATAGTTTCCCTGTATACTTCACAGTATGCACACATGTAAAAAGTACTCATTGGTACCTGAAAATAATGAATGCTCCCTCCCCTCTTTCTAATCATTGTTGCTTGAGAGTAAGCCCTAAGACCATACATATAAGAATACAAGTCAATCTGCATGACTTGACACATAATTTTGTTGTTGTTTGGATTTAGCACCTGGTTTATCTTTCTTCAGTTTTATGACACAGCAAACATATGATATTTTTTATAACTTGATGTTTCCATCTATTATACTGCCACAATTTTTCAATTTTCTAACTTTTTGCTAGGGCTGTCATTGATGGAAAATTTTGTATCGATTTATTGAGAGACAAATATCAACGATACATTGATATATCCACTTTGACAGTAGATACATTGAAAAACATTCATGTGTTATAAATTAGGATCATGGTGTTATGCATGCTTGTATTACACATTACAAATACTATTTTGTTTTTTCTGTTACTCTTGTCACAGAGTTTAAAGTTCAAATTAGCCAAGAAAACTAGAAAAAAGTGACTTCTCTTATAAGCCAAAATACAGTGTTTATTCTAGGATTCGAAAATTATGGGGGATTATTATCGAAAAGTGAGAATTTATTACATTTGTTGATCTTTTTCCTTCTTTGTCTATGTAAAATTTTCCCCCTTCCTCTCAAAAAATAGGGGTGAATTATCAAAAATATGGGTGAATCCCCCCATCGCCCCTTCTAGAATAGACACTGAAATAGAGAGGTATCAGATGATGAATATCAATGATATATTGATATCGCGATATTCAATAATAGCCCTACTTTTTGCTACTATACTACTGAGTACTTAATAATGCAATACAGTACTGCCAAGAAGATACAAAAAAAACAAAAAAAACAAGATTAGTGATGAATGCCCCGAAAAGGTTTCTTAATCATGCTGGTATATTATGAAAAGTAAAAAGAATGAAAGTAACTAATTGCTTAATATTGTTCTTGTGAAATGAAGTGCTATTTAAAGCAAACTTAACACCTTGGGACAAGGGTCTTGGATGCGACACAACATCTTGATACGGTAGACATTTACGCCAAATTATTTTAAAATCCTTCCGTGCATGACAAAGTTAAAGTCCGGACATGAATGTGTACCTTCAAACTCTTCTCGAGAGAATGAGTACCTTCAAACTATAAGTGTGACCTTGACCCTGAAGGTAGGGACAGATGTCTTGAACGTGACATGTCTACTTAATTTGGTTGACATTTATGCATAGGTATTTTAAAATTCTTCAATGCATGACAAAGAGACTGTCCGGACATCAATGAACTCTAATTATGATAAAGTGAAACTTCAAAATGTAAGTATGATGACACAAACTGAAAGTAAGTAAACTTTGTGATGTTGACTAGCAAGATTATCGGTGTACTTAATGTTTTCTGTATGTCTGCATTGAATAAAATTGATGTTTTTAATAATGAATATTTTGTGTGAAGCTGAACAAATTCAACTAATCATTACATTTTTTATTTAATGAGGTCAAAGATTTTTAACTTCACCGTATATATGACTGCACATGACAAGATACTGAGAGTATGTCGGTAATAGAGTTGCACCGATATTATAGAGTTAGAGTAGAGCTATACAGTAATTCAATTTTTGCTGAAAATGTTTGAATAAGTGTGGAACTTGTATCAAAACACGTTTTATGAACAGTAGTCAAAATATATTGACATGCCAAAGCTTGATTTTTGGATATTTTCAATCTGGGTCAGAATCTCACTTCTACGAGAGGCGAGATATTGCCCAGTCTCAGTGAGACACAAAACAGCACAATATCTCGTTGCGCAGTACAATTAGTAGTGGAATATATGATAAGCCAAAATATAGAGGTATCAGATGATGAATATCAATGATATATTGATATAAGGATATTTAATGATAGCCCATCACAGATGCAGAATTTCCGGCTTAAATGTTAAGAGTTACTGACTGAGATTTTAAGGTGATTCCGCTTTGTCAGCCATGTTTGTTTTCACAAAGTCTGTCCAAAGTGAAAGTAGGCGAAATTTCATATAACAATAAAGCTCACATTGTTATATGATGAGCCATTTGCCAGTACACTTCCAGTTCTATGTTTTAAAGACTATTTTAAACAAAAATAAAAATGATAACAATAAGAAAATTTACCTTGAATGGGCGAAATTTCTGAAGACCAAAACATTCTGTTGCAAAGTTTTATGCACATTTCATGAATGGCAAAATCCAGTTTAAAGTCTATTTTAGTGCCAACAAATGCTATTTTTTGCAGAAAATACAAAAAACTTCAAAAAACATAAATCTTAGGAAAGTAGTTTATCTGACTTTGAAAAAATATGGCCACCATGACATGTGTAAAAAAGTAGTACCATGAAAATACATTGTAAACATCATTTACCTATTTCTTGTGTACATGACAAACAGACACATTTTGATTGTGTTTTCATTTAAATTGTAGTTCATAAGGCTATAAATGATGATTGTTTTCTTGCACTACTTTTTTACAAAAAATAATGGAGGCCATGTGCTTTGAAGGAATCAGGGTCAGCTCGGCCCTAAAACGTACTCGGCCCTCGAGTCAGCTCGGCCCTATTCCAACTCGGCACGGGTCAACTCGGCCCATAATTATATATTACTGGTAATGATTACTTTTATTACTTTTGATATGTTTTCATCATAACTTTCATGGTTTAACATTTTCACACTAACAGACCTCTACTCAAGGATATTGAAAAGTTTTATTGATGAAAGTACCAATTTGTATGTGAATTTGTAGAGAAAGAAAGAATTTACAATTTATATGCATGTTTTGCTACTCCAGATTTTTTGTAAAAAATATCGTTAAAAAAGCATTGGTCGTATTAAAGAACAAACAGTATTAAATACAATTACATTTATTGTCACAAAAATTCAATCTAAAAACTCTATTTATTGATCAATATTTAACATATATTGTCTTGATATCTCTTCTTAACAAAGATAATTTCAAACAATACGTACAGGTACACTGCCAACTTTTTCAATTTCTGTTTGTAAGTGATCATATTTCTGAAAAACTTTATAGTAATTTTCTCCTTAAAATTTTTATTAACTAAACAATCTATATCCTAATATATGTTTTTAATAGAGGGCCGAGTTGACCCGTGCCGAGTTGGTATAGGGCCGAGTTGACCCTTTACCCTTAGAAGGACATGAGATACTGATTTATTTGGAGTTTTGAAAGATTTTTGTAGTAGCTGCAAAAAAATAGCTTTTGTTGGTACTAAAACAGACTTTAAAAAGGATTTTGCCATTCATGAAATGTGCATAAAACTTTGCAACAGAATGTTTTTGGTCTTCAGAAATGTAGCACATTCAAGGTAAATATTCTTATTGTTATCATTTTTATTTTTGTTTATAATTGTCCTTAAAATATAAATCTGGACCAGGAAGTGTACTTTCAAATGGTTCATCATTTTACGATAAGAGCTGTAAATTTTAATTGTTGTTACATATGAATTTTGGCCTACTTTCACTTTGGACAGACTTTAGTGAAAACAAATAGGCTGACAAAGCGGAATCACCTTAACGTGTACAAAGTTTAGGAGGTGGGGAACAGGTTCTGACGTCCATGTCATGCAAGTGTTTGTGGTTCTTGTTTTCTTTTTTTATACAGTGGACTCGCCCTTTCCGAACCAATTTTTATACTTTTGTTGTATTACGCCGATAAATATCTATTTAAATTAAAAAGAATATTTTAAAATATAGATAAATATGTCATGATTAAAATAGCGCAAAATGAAATTGCCTTTAAATTTGATTTAATACCGGAATTTCCAAGAAAATTTAGACTGGTACCTTGCCTAATCCGGGTCATACTCGCCTTTTCCGAATCACCGCAAAATTAACGAAATGGTCGGAAATTATTTTTCTTAATTCAGTTCATAGTGACATAATACCGTGATCGGTTCAACCAACAAGTAATATATCGTGATATATTCTAATAACATTCAAGGTAGCCAGTTTAAAATACAGTTTCTTTATATAGCATTCATTTAAGTGCCTATCCTTTATCAAACCTTTCATTTATGAGCTGCCTGTTCATTTTTTACTAGAAGTGGCTTTGTCATTAACGCGTTAGCATAAAAGCAGACATGTCTGCTGCTGTCAAATGAAAACATTGTTTAGGAACGAATAATTATATAACACATTTGATTAATTTTATGCAAATTGCTACAACTAGATCTATACGCTATAAACATATTGTGAAAACTAAAATATGAATTTTGTTTTGAAAACTATCTAGAATGATAGAAAATGTTCTAAGAAAATAAATCCGAACACCAGTATCTTTAATTCAGCCATTAACGCTGTTCAAACGTTTAAAGAGTTGTTAAACTAATGTGATAACAAAATGAATATACGAAGCAAACAGAATCATAAACCAGGTACCTGCACCCTGTAGGGTACTTATATATATATGTCATGTGATAGTCTTGTGACAATCACTTCTTTGGCTAAACTAAGAGGCCATGCCAGTTTTGTAAGGGAGTTGTGTTTTTTTCAGGATGGAAAACAGGCTTTTCTAATTGTTTCATTTCAGCCAAAACTTACAGAAATGTTAATTTAAGATTATTTCAGCCAAAACTTACAGAAATGTTAAATAAAGATTCAATTGACTGTCTACCTATATGTGAAGAATAAAGATTTATTTTCTTCTTTACTAAAAGACTCAGGAATGCTTAGAGGTTTGAGAACTGGTTTGTCAATGATGTAAGTAAAACATAACACATGTATATAATATGTATTTATATATTAAGCATATGTCCATGACTTGTAAAATCATAAGTACTATAAAATCTGAACAACATCCATGGCGTCCCCTCTGGCATAAATGAAATATATTGTATCATTGCAGTCATATGAGCAGTCTGTGACCATGTGGTAGACCTAGAATGTCACTCTCCCTTGAGATTTTGGTAATCTCAGCGTCCTTGGCTTTCTTTGCTGGTGTGAAGTTAGAGTAATTTTTTTAACTTTCTAACATTTCTGGCAGACACCTCAGCTGGACGTTGGCATTTTTTCTAGGTTTATCCATCTAAAAAAGATGTAGATATGTAAAATGGAATGTATAAAACGAATAATGAATTATTTTACATGTACACTGTACAATATTGGACATGTACCTGAAGGAAGGCAATTTCATAGTATTCTCTGGGAGGGATTATATACATGCCATTTTGTACAAATAATAGTGGCAAAAGTGATGTAAAAATGTTTCATATTTTATTTTGCAAAAATCAAATACATTTCAATAGGATAATGTTTAAGAATCCCCTGCTTTTGGCAGGTTATAGGCAGGTAAAGTTAAGCAAGAGCTGTCAGACTAGGCAGTGCTCTTGTTAATTAGATACAAAAGACAAAAAGTATATGAATGATAAAAACATATGTATTATGAGTTAATAAAGTACTCAAATATATAATTTTGTGTTTGTTTGTTACATTTTACGCCTTTTCCCATTAGTATTTTAGTCATATAGGCGGGTAGTTTCCTGACCATCGTTCCTGCAAAGTTACACCAGTACTAGACTACCTTCCTCAGTACTTAACTATCAAAGCATCTCCCGGGGATCGAGGTAATAAAGTCATAGACTCTTAACCCCTCGACCACTGAGGCGGTCCAAATATATAACAATTTTCATATAGTGTAAAATAAGTTCAAAATGGAAATACTTCTGAAAATACAAGAGCTGCACATTTTAATTAAATCTCATTAAATATTATATGTAAGTGTTGATAAAACATATATTTTTGAAGTTTACATTAAATTCCCGAAGAAATAAAGAAGTCACAAAAAAGGAAGAAAATTCTAACTTTACGTAAGGGCCTAGAAATCAATTAAATCCACGGAAATATAAGTATTATTGAAATTTATCCTATCATACATATATCTAAACAATGTTTCTATCAAATAATCGTGGTCAGTGTCAATGATGGTCAAAATAATAAATACATGTATGTATCTTTAAACACTTATTTCACGCAGCAGCAGAATACTATTATAATATATCTATAAAACTTACAACATCTTAACTGCCCATTTCAATGGAATAAATGAAAGTTATAGCAGGCTAAGTCATATTATTATATAAATATTTATTTCTTATTATAATCATTATCTATATTTTATGCAAACAAAAATAAATATTGCTATATTTGGGTATATTTAGGTGTACGGTATTTGGGTATTTCGTGCCGCCGAAAAAAAAGGTGATTCGGAATACACAAAAAAGATGATGTCAGTAATACAGCCTTTTACGTTTAAATTTTAAAATTATTTGTATTGTGATTATTATGGCTTGAAAGCACATAAAATTTGCTTTTTATCAATGTTCATTTTGTTTCGTTTCGGGAATTAACTAAAATGCAAGCGCCTTTTCATTTTGAAAATTTTATTTTCATTCGACAGATTTACGCATACGGGAAAAATATGACACTTAAACAAACTAAAAATACAGATAATGTAAGAATATTTTTTATGCCTTACTAACGCTGAATTGATTGTATAGTGCTTCGATTATAAACCTAAAACATAACTTACGATTTTTGTGGCCGTCTGCACGCTCGCGACCTAAAAAGCTTGGAAATGATCCTCATTTTTGACTGGTTCGGAATGGGCGAGATCACTGTATGTTTATTTTCTGCAGCTTTCGTTATTTTTACTTTTGGTTCATAACAGCACAATGTAAAGAAAACTCTACTTTAAAAGTTGCAAAATGTAGAAATTATTTTCATTCTCTGAATAATGAAAAGTACATGCGAAGGTTTTACCTGTAGACGTTAAGATTGAAGAATTTCTGTCAAATTCCAGCTAATTTATGTTTACGGAAGCGCCTATGACACGGTTTTGATTATATATTTCTTTTTTTCAGAACATGTTCCATACAGTATTTATTGTTAATCGAACAGTGTTCCTGTAGCTCGTATGATTTATTCAGGGAATAGACATAAACACATACAATGTTATCACATATTAACTTGCATATATATAACAAGAGGGCCATGATGGCCCTGAGGTCGCTCACCTGTAAATAGGCCCCCGGAGCGGGGCCAGTTTAAACCCCAGGGCTTTTATTTGAACATCTTGGAAGACACTCATTAGAAGATGTTTCACAATGATAAGTTTTTACTACTGACATATAATGAAAAACATTGACCTCCCTCCTGCCCCCCCCCCCCCCCCCCCCCCGGCAGGGCCAATTTTCACCGGAGGGCTTTTATTTGAACAAACTTGGTAGACATCCATAAGAAGATATTTCATGCTAAACATCTAAGCTCTAGCTCATTGGGTTTTTTAAAAGAAGATTTTTAAGTTTTTACTATACACATTTAGTTAAAAACAATGACACCCCTGGGGTGGGGCCAGTTTTGACCCCAGGGCTTTTATTTGAACAAACTTTGTAGACACTTACTAGAAGATGTTTCATGCTTAATATCTTAACTCTAGCTATTTGGGTTTTTTTCAAAGAAGATTTTTTAAGTTTTTACTATTCTATGCATATAGGGAAAATCAATGACTCCCCGGGGCAGGGCCAATTTTAACCCCAGGGCTTTTATTTGAACAACCTTTGTAGACACTCACTAGAAGATGTTTCATGCTTAATATCTAAACTCTAGCTATTTGGGTTTTTTTCAAAGAAGATTTTTAAAGTTTTCACTATATGCATATAGGGAAAATCAATGACCCCCGGGGCAGGGCCAATTTTAACCCCAGGGCTTTTATTTGAACAACCTTTGTAGACACTCACTAGAAGATGTTTCATGCTTAATATCTAAACTCTAGCTATTTGTGTTTTTTCAAAGAAGATTTTTTAAGTTTTTGCTATAGACATATAAGGAAAATCAATGACCCCCGGGGCGGGGCCAATTTTGACCCCAGGGCTTTTATTTGAACAAACTTGGTAGACACCTATTAGAAAATGTTTCATGCTAAATATCTTAGCTCTAGCTCTTTGAGTTCTTTAAAAGAAATTTTTTCAAGTTTTTACTATATGCATATAGGGAAAATCAATGACCCCCTGGGGCAGGGCCAATTTCGACCCCAGGGATTTTATTTGAACAAACTTGGTAGACACTCACCAGAAGATGTTTCATGCCAAATATCTAAGCTCTAGCTCTTACGGTTTTTTAAAAGAAGATATTTAAAGTTTTTTCTTTCGGTTGCCATGGCAACCAGAGTTCTGCATTGAATGGAATTCTTTGAATAACTTTGTTAAGGCTTCACACAAGGAACACCCCTGTAAAGTTTCATTATGATCTGCCATATGGTTTCAGAGGAGATGTCGTTTTAAAAGTGTGAACGGACAACGGACGACGGACGACAGACGACGGACGAAGAGTGATCCTAATAGCTCACCCTGAGCATATGCTCAGGTGAGCTAAAAACACAAAAATAAATGCAACAAAAATAATTATCAGATTAATTAATGAGTATGTTCTATGTTACCCTAGGATTGCCCATTAAGCTAAAAGCTTATTTCCATTGGGGTCCATTTACTGTAAAATTATCATACTAACTTGCATAATAATAACAAGTAAAGTGGTTTCCTGCGGGGATCATTTTTAATGATATAAGATATTTCATTTAACTATTTTCAACATTGTTTGGGGGGACAACATATAGTCGATCAATATAGAAGAAGGTCTTTGGAAACTGGTGACCGTTGATGACCGGAGAAGGTCGAACATAAAACAATTATTTCTTTTTAAGAAAATGATTAAATAGGCCTACCATTTTATGAATAATTCCGAGCAAAAAATAAAATAAAGTAAACACACAAGTTTACGCAGAAAATATCTCTATTTATTATGGCAGATGCCACTACGATCGAATATTTCAATTTTGTAGATTTTCAGTATAAACAATTTATTGTCTGTAAAATTTGAGATACATAATAAAGAAACATTGATAATTTTCAAACACATCATTCAAGTTTTTCAACCTTAAACGGTAAAATATTTATAGAAAATTAGAAATATCACGTAATAGTTTTTTTTGTTCTAATTAGATGTAATTCGAGGTAAATCCGTCACGTACCGGCAAACGGTATTTAGCCAGGCTTTCGAAAGGGTCAATTAACCAATCATGTAAGGTCTACAGATCACGTGCTCCTCCATGTACCGAAAACAGGTCACGTGCTCCTCCATGCCTCAAAAGTTAAACGCGTACCAATACCCTGCGGTCTCCAGACCGCAGGGAATAAATGAATTATAAAGAAGTTAAAATAAATGACAATTTTTTAAAAAAAATGTTCCACAATCAAGACACATTTTTCAATATAATAAGACAAGTAACGTAAAGTGCCTTAAAGTCGCCATGATCCCATTGTCGTCAGTTTTTTGTATTCTCGTTTTCTCTCGCTCGCGTTATCTGGAAGTACCAAAGGCGGCTTATTTTGAAAGGTGAATATATTTTCTATTTCATTGCACTGTTCTAGGTTGTGTGTGTGCAAATAATCACTCCTAAAATACGACGAAAAAAAGCATATGTATGTTTGATAGAGAAAGTAAGAGTTGTCGACGATCCAATGTCTTCAGCAGCCACAATGGGCGAATTAAAATTGTAAACACGTGGCCATTTGTAATCCGTGGAAAGTTACTCTGTCCAATAGATCAATTTTTTTGGTTTTGTATTTGTAGCTTCCCTTCGAAGCAAACACTACCTAGTCTATTAAAAGTAACCTTTAAATTAAATGACGACTTAAAGTACCAGTTGACGAGATTTGGGCATACCTTTTGAAAACTGTCCTCACAACTTGAAGTTAATTATTCTTAATAAAGCATATAAAGGATGTTGAAATAACATGTGAATAAGTCGGGGAAGACGATATACTTACCCTTGAACAATCGTCTGGCAAGTCAGAGGCAGACGCAGAGAATATGAGCAGTACACCAGATGAAGGACATGATTGCCCCCCGGAACTGGCTTTCTCTGCATTCGAACTGTCGTTAACACCTCGTAAGAAACGCAGATTTGAGGAATGTTTTGATTTAAACATTGAGCTTAACAATCCTCTATACAAGACTTGGTATCAGTACGTGCTATACATAACTTCGAAGCTCAGAATGAAACACCTATTATTGATGACGAAGTAAAAACCACGCCGATACCAGAAAACGACGCACCAGCTATGTACTGCTCTGTTATTAACAATCCACTATTAAAAGCAGGACTTATCCCAAATGATCTTATTAATGTGCTGGTTTTGGCCACCACCACCTTCTTCGTCTAAAGGTAAAAATAAAAAGCCAGGGAAGGCTAGAGTCTTGACAAGTACAGCTGTGCAGCAAGAAATTGAAACAAAGGAAAGGAGGAAACAACAGGATATAAAATTAAAGGAAGAAAGAAAAAAAGTAACGATTAACCAAGAAGATAAGAAAGGAAAAAGAATTATTAAGAAAGAAAGAGGAAATGAAGAAGAAAAAAGAACTGAGAGAAAAACAAAGAGAAGAAAAACTTAATTCAAATGGAAAAAAAGACAACTTAAGTTACGTAAGAAAGATGAAGCCCAGCACTTATAGACACACAACACACAATATCAAAAACATTATTTTTGAAAAAATTACACTGATTTTCTTTTCTCTTCAGGTATAATGAAGAAATTTGTCCTAAGAAACATTCAAGTAGTTGGAATGCACCATTACGGTCGCCGGGAGTTAGATCGGCTGGGGTCATACATAGTTGATATCGAGGCTAACAACTCATAAGATCCAACCGCCGTGGCAGTATATGATGGCCAACATAAAGACGGCAATCTGAGGCGAGACATCGCGAAGGCAATTCACGAGGAGGTTATAACCGCAAACAAGTCTTAATCAAAATACTTCCTTAATTAGACCTATTGAAGAACCTAAAGTGCTGTCCAGACGTGTTGGACCTCAACAAACATGTGCTATTTTTTAAAAAAAAATACTTGAAACAGACATTGAGTGTATTAATATACAAGTGGTAAATAAGCACAGCATAATATACGCAAAAGTAATGGAATTGCCTTTAAAACGTTAAACTTAAAATGTCATAGTTTTGGGTCATGGGTTATTAAGGCTCTTCGTGTTCATGCTCACTATATTTTGCTGGCTGCATAGCATTTAAATGTATATATAACAACATTTCAATAGTATTTGTTTTTGTCAAATGTATTATATCAAACTAGATAATTATCATTGTTAAGCTTTAAAATTTTCTTTGATATTATTTGTCAGAGTAATTTTCAATAAATGGCAGTTTTATTGGTTTTAGATTAAATATTTTTTAAAGATTTAAACAGTTCTTCATGTTTGCAAGATTATTTTTTTAAAAACCAGAAAAGTTGACGACTATAGGTCCCCATTGACGACATTTTGCTCCATGTGTTGACGACTTAAAGGTTCATTTGTCCTATGGTCGTCAGTGAGACACCTGCCTGGTTTCCCGTCTTATATCATAAATGTTATTTATACAGCATGCGTTAATTTTATATCAAAATGGCCAGGGAAGATTCAAGTTTGATTTGATGACAACAGGGAACCAGTGCATTAATATATATCGTTGTGGTGGCGCGTAAAGTATTCAAAGTTGACGAGTATAGGGTACTTTACGTTACAGGTTGTACACAAACGAAATGAAATAAATTTCGTTTAAACTAAAACATTATCAAGTACAACATAAACATGTTACAAAACCTTATCATAAGTTACACACTAATTTAATAATAAATAAACATATAAACCACTTGTTTATCATTTTCATTATTTAAGAAAAGTTTTACTTTCGTTTTAAATGTTTGCGTATTGTCGATTGACCTAATGCTGTCTGGTAAAGAATTCCAGTCTTTTGTGACATTGTAGAAAATGTGTTTGTAACATGAGAATCATTTTGAGGCAATTTTTTTTAAAATTACTAGATCTAAAATTGGATACTCTACATACCTTAAACA